CAACCGGTCAGCTCCAGGCGGCCCTCGCCGGAGCCTCCCGGTTCCTGTGCTGGGCTTCCGAGAGGGACGTGGGCGCTTATTTCGCTGCTGCTGGCCACGCGTTATTAAAAACGAGAGACCGTAAGCCCTGTCTCCTTTTCACGATTCCTGCCGCGATAATTCCTGTTTCTGCTTCTTGGCAACTGGCAGAGACAGCAGAGGCGCAGCGGTCTCGAACAGCTCCTCAGATAACCCCGGGTCTCCGAGGAGCGCGCTCACTGAGCACAAGCCCCTCACCTCCCCAGGAGTCTCTCCAGGCCGTGTTGGAGCCTGTGCTTGGGATGTCTCGGCGCAGACGTGCCTCGCGTTGCCTTGCTGAAGCCGTTAGCTTGGGAGAGTCTCGATTGTTTCCGTTAGGTTTTGAATGTAGTGCTTGGGAAAGACTTTAAAAGGTGTAAGATTCTGTGTTCTGCCAGTAAAACCTGTATGTTTTATCCCGGAATGCCGGTACTGATACTTTGTCTTTAACCTAAAGACATTTTAACGCCATAGTAAAATTCGACGGAAGCCTTCCGCCCGTGCCCAGAAGGCAGCAGGGCTTTATGATGCGCTTGGAACCGCCTCAGCACTTTAAAACAGCCTCGCGACAGCACAAGAGTAAACTGATGGTCTCTCAGCAGCGTGCAACGCGGAGCCTTTTTGCTCGTTACTCGGGCCTCAGGCACGTTTTGCTGTAGATCGCTGAGTTGTGGCAAGTGTTCCCCGTAGTCCTTGCCGAATCCAGTGATAGCCAGGGGGTGATACAGTTTGAACTGTTCCTTCGGCCTGTTTGTGTCTGTCGCGGTGTTTCCGGAACACGAGAGGATGACCTGTCCGTGATCGGCGCTTAACGATGCGAAGCTTTGATTCTCCCCACAGCAGAAATAAGGTGGTTTTAGTAAAACGCACGCTTCTCGCTCGCCGATGCGTGCTAAGCCGCGTTTTCCTTCTTCGCCACGCTTTTCGCCTGGTACGTTGGCTGACCTCGTGCACAGCGAGACGGGAGCGAGAGGCTGCAAGTGCGTAGGTCCGTAGTGTCAGTGAGCACCTCTGCTCTGGGAGGAGCAAGGCAGCAAGGACAAACAGCGCATTCCTCTTCCCATTCTAATCAGAATAAAGGGTTTGCGCCAATGAGGGGAAGTGCAGGAGGACACAATCTGAATAAAAAAATAATGCTGTTTTGTGGCATTCTTTATTTAAGAGTGAAGTAGCTAGAATGTTGCAGGGGTCTGTGCAAGTAGAGACTGAAAACAGAGCGATTCCTCGCTTCCGAGAGCATGACTGAGATTTGTTGTGTTTGCAGTCTTAGATTTTTAAGAAGCTCAGCTCAGTTGCTGTGGCTATTTCTAATACAGCCAGCAAAAAAATAGATTGAGTAGTCTAAACTCCAGAAAGCTGCTGAGGTTCAAATGTAGATTTCCACTTAGTACTGCACGCTGTGGGAGGAGGATCGCGCTCTCTTTTGGGCTCCCTCGCCTGGATGTGCCGCGAGGTTGGGTTGAGTTTCTCTGGCTTCAGGGCCCAGGCTGAGCTGAAGCAACTGCGTGGTGCTGTAAGCCAAACCCTGCCGCAGGGCCAGGGGGGTGGGAGATGCTCGGAGAAGGGGGTTCGAAGGAGCACGTTTGGTGTCACAACTGAAATACCATAAAGTGTGTGTGTGTGTGGTCACCTGTTGCAGCTCAGCTGCCGGGAACAGCCGAACAGAATCCTGGAACTCGGTTGTATCCGCGTGTGTATTTGTGGGAGTCTTCGAAAGTGCCGTGCTCTCAGCACCCAGTCAAAGGGCTTTGGCCAGCGGTGACTCGTCGTCATTTTACCCGGGTTCTCAGGGAGCTGAATGAAGTGAGAGTTCTGAGAGGAATTTTTAGTTGTACTTTTAAAACATTTGGGTTTGGTTTCTAAGATTCGAAATCCTTAATGCCCAGCTTGTTACAGAATGAAAACGTCACCGAGGTCAACATCCAGCCCACTGGAGCCCAGTATTAAGGTAGCAAAGCCTGCAGGAAATCTGCTGGAGGCTGGAAAGCACACCTATAAACTCAAAAAATGGGATTTTTCTGTGTCTGGCTTTGTAATTCATTGCAATCAAGTCAAAGAGCATGCAGCTTTAGCTTTTATGATCTATTTCAGTAGGTTTCTGTGCGTTTGGCTGGAGTGTAACCTGTCACTGTTGTGCTGTCTTGCAGATAACTTCCTTCTTAGTGATGAAATCATAGCCAATGGCTTTCACTCCTGTGACAGTGACGAAGATGACAGAGCCTCCCACGCGAGTTCTAGTGACTGGACACCAAGACCACGTATAGGTAGAAGCCTGTGAAATGTTCTTGGATGCTGTTTGCCTTTCAACAGTCAATTCTTCCCCATCTTCAGATGACTTCTTTTGCAAAAAAAATGGGCAGTGGCTGCTGTTGAGCAGCCTAGAGTTGTTCACGGTATACTGTGTCTTGTTTAAGGAGTTTAAAAATGAACCTCTTTAAACTTGCTGTATTCTGATTAAAATTGTTCACGCTTTTTTTGTGTAGAAATGCTGCCCTGGTCCATATTAAAAGCGTACGCAGAGGCTCACTAAATGGGACAGATCTGTGGCATGTTTCTAGCCTGAAGGAGATGATTCGTGTATGATTTTAGGCAGTCTGCAGGGCTGACTGTCCTAAGTGTTACGTCCGTTTAGGAATTACTAGTCTGCGCATGTATCTATGTAGCACACTGGCAACAGCACGGCAGTTAGGGTCTCGGTAGAAAGTCCTGGCCTCGCGCAGAGGCAAGATAACGGCTGAGGTCACTGGTGATTTGTGTGGGACCGTGGCTTCTAGGGCACAGTGGGGCTGGGACTTGAGCTCTTTTGTCTTCCACAGGTGTGGAATACCACAGCATTCGTTTCTTGCTGCTATTCTTAGCACAGCTGGGAAAACCCCATTATGATAACACAGTATTCCACTGAAAATCTGTCCATACGTTGTCTTTGCAGATGCCTGGTTAAGAGGATCGCTGTTGGCACCTTTTGGGTAAATGTGCCTAAGAGCAGCTAGCCCTCAGCAATAGCTGTTTGGGTCCTTTCGGTCAGTCTAGCTTCGTAAGGCATACCTGGTTTTCTTCTACTGCTCTAAGCTTGTGTGTTTCTGGGAAGATTGATTTGAGGGCTTTAGGAGGTTATGTCCAAAATCGTTAAGAGTTAGGTGGCTAAAAGCAAACAAAAATCCATGGATCGGTGGGCCCTGTTTGTCTTTAGAGCGATGGCTTTTCAGACGTTTTTTTTATATTTGTTGTGTCTTGGCCTCACTACTGTAAACACCTTGGAAAACGTTGGAAACATACCAGCGAAGCCATAAAATGGAGATGGGTGGTGAAAATCTTGTTGCTGAGTAAGTGCACTGTTCAGAGCCATCAAGTTTGCTGTGATCTGGGATTTCTGCCTTGACTAACTTGCTGGGAAATCCTTCATGGGTTGCCATAAAGTAGTAAGAAATAAGTAAAAACCCCTGGCTACACTGTCACTTCAGAATTTAGACCGGAACATACAGGGGGCTTGATGAGTGTAGAATTACATGGATTAATATAATTGTAGCAGCAAGCATGAATGATGGGGTGGGGATTGTAACCATCTGAAATACTCAATTTTCTTTTCTTTTTTTTTTTTTTGTCATTCCCTAGGTCCCTACACTTTTGTTCAGCAGCATCTCATGTTAGGTACAGACCCACGGACAATTCTGAAAGACCTGCTACCAGAAACCATCCCTCCGCCAGAACTGGATGATATGACGCTGTGGCAAATCGTTATAAACATTCTTTCAGAACCACCAAAAAGAAAAAAACGGAAAGATATTAATACTATTGACGACGCTGTGAAACTTCTACAGGAATGCAAAAAAGTCATGGTCTTGACCGGAGCTGGGGTACGTACTGCCGCACGGCAGCGGGAGAACGTACGGGCGGGTGGGTGAAGGCTTCCCCAGTGCTTCGCAGCACGGGGCGATGGGACCCTCGCAGCCAGATAACCCCGCTGGGTGGGAAGAGGAGGCCCCGCTGCCCACTAGAGCGTTGCGTGCCGCGAGACTGGAGCTTAAGGTAGAAATCACGAGGTCTCTCTTGCTCCAGAACATTTTCTTACAAGATCTAAACTCTTAAACGGTTGCTTCCGTGCAAAAGAGTTGTGGAATAAGATCGCATCTGCCTGCTCCAGAACATCTTCTATCCTAGCCATTTTTTTCATTTGAAGAAAAGGTAATGATTTTTTAAGTCAGCGTCTCTTAAAACGCCTGGTGGAGCTAGAGGGCCTAGAAGAGTATGGCTCAAACAAGAGTGTGTGTGGGGAAGGATTCTAAGGAGAGTTTAATTAGATCTCCGTAGACTGACCCTGACTTCCACCATGTGTAAGACTGCTCTCTGTTTTACTAAGGGACGCTTTGAACCTGTTGTACGTTTCCAGCTTTGTACCTGCCTACCGCACGGCGGTACAGAATCCAACCGGTTCTTTGCTCCTGTTGCTCACAGGCAGAGGGTGACACCGCTTGCAAAGGATGAGGAATTCCAAGCAGCTTGCTAGAAAAGCACTGCTACTTCCATTACCGGCCTTACTGTCTAAAAGTGCTCTCAAACACCTGTTTCTCCTCCCCTTCCCACAGTATTTTGGGGTAGCCTGAGACAGTACGTCTGTGCCTTTACTGACTAGTGCAGTGTTTTGATGAACAGTGCTTGTTTATCAAAAGGGGTTTATTCATCCAAACTAAGGATCTGTTCTGCTCCTGTGTTAGCCTGGGGCAAAAAAATCAACCACCTTGCCCAAGCTGAAGTTGGCAGATAAATGAACATGCTGATCAAATCTAATGCAACAGGGTTTTTTTGTGTCTTACAAAACTTCCAGCAGGAAAAGTAAGTTCTGGTGTCCTTTTGCGGCCTGTACAGATTGGACTAAAGGGTTTCTTGTCCAGTCGTCAGACTGTGGTGCTGTGCTGCTTCTCCTGCTTGTGATTTGGGAATGGTTATGTTGGTCAAAAAAAAAGGAAAAGCGTAATAAATGCGGCGAACCCAGAGTGATTTTGTTCTTAATGTCTCTGAGTGCTGTGAGCACACGGAAATGCCGTTTCCCACGTGGTTTGTATCCCAGCAGCTCCTATAGCCGATTACGTAGCTTTGCTGATTCCCGGTGCACACATGTGTTTCAGGTGTCAGTGTCCTGCGGAATACCCGACTTCAGATCGAGGGACGGCATCTATGCGCGCCTTGCTGTAGACTTCCCAGACCTTCCGGATCCTCAGGCAATGTTTGATATAGAATACTTCAGAAAGGATCCCAGGCCGTTCTTTAAGTTTGCAAAGGTACGGTTTTCCAACAGTTCTTTCCTTGGTCAGTAAAGACAGGTAACAATATTGAAATGCTTGAATCGGATAGAGCACTGTTCTGTTAACAGTACATAAAAAAGGGTCCTTGTTTATAAACAAGATAGAAAAGTATGTTAATAAACTGAATTTACTTGAATGAAAGCCCTCAATTCAGTGGCACAGCAACTCCTTCCTTGGGCAGGTCTTCACATGTATCCGTTCTATATCCTCAGCTACTCCAGTCGTCTATGCAACCACATATTCACCTTATTAGAAATACTTAGCAACGTTCTCTTTTAAGCTCGGTTTTACTGTTTTTGTTACAAGTTCATTATAAACACAGCCACTCTGGACAGTGTCTCTAATTGCAGGGAGGATAAATAAAACTTGCAGTTATTTGGTCAAATCTCGGTAACCTCAGCTGCTGTTACTGTCCCTGAAAAATGGAAGTACAGGCAAAACCGTTGGCCAGCACATGAGTAATGTGGAAAGCTTTCCTGTGTCAGAATTCTCTAAACCTTGCTTTTCTGCTGTGTGAAGAACCAAGGACCGGTTTGCATGGAGCAATTCATGCCGATGTGATCAGAAGCTGAGCTGCTGGAAGAAGAGTTGGATCTAGAGAAATGGCAGAACGCAAAGGGCTCGCCAGCGTTAACTGCTGACGTTATCGTTACTGCTAACGTTTAGCTCAGTGTGAACTGGCATGAAGACACGGTGTATCCGTTTACGCTTTCTAATGCAGTTCTGAATTCCCTAGGAAATCTACCCAGGACAATTCCAGCCATCTCTCTGTCACAAGTTCATTGCCTTGATGGATAAGGAAGGAAAACTACTGCGCAACTACACTCAGAACATAGACACGTTGGAGCAGGTTGCAGGGATCCAAAGGATAATACAGTGCCACGGTGAGTGGGTTTGGTTTCACTTTTCTCGATTCACGTGTAGGAACGGTGTTTACTGGTGCATGTGACAAGGTAACTGCTGGTGGAGTTAAATTTCCTTCTATCTCTTGGCAACAGATATTCTGCTTTTAAAATGCTGATTTGGTTTGGTTTTTTTAAGGTAGTTTAAGTATTTAAGTAGTTTAAGTTTAAGTATTTAAATCTTTCAAGTGGAAATACTGCTTTTCAGAAATTAGGCTTGATATACGGTGGGTTTTGTGTATCAGTGAAAATCCACACCCTGTTTGCCCAAGCTTAGACTTCTAAAATGTATTTGGTGATGATTTTTTTTTTTTTTTTTTAAATATTAATGTCTGAGACCAGTATGGAAATCGGCCTTTCCATCAATCCCTCTCTCCGGCTGTAATGAAATGGAATTTGGCTGTTACTGATTCTTTATTTAGGGTATATTCCATGGAAATCTTAACGCATCCTGGCACTTCAGTGACTTTACCTCACATAAAAAATAACGTGGATTAATCACCAGTTCAGTTGAACTGAAGATCATCTTGCTACACCTTCAGTGTCATACACGTTCTGTAATTATGATGCCAAATGAAATGGAATCTCTTAATTAGTTGCTTGATAGGCTTTCCATTTCCCAAAGACTTGCTTACATCAAGCAAAAAGTCCAAGGATTCATTTTTAAGGAAAGGATGCAGAAAATTAGTTCTTGAAGTCCACGTCTGGACTATTTAGTAGCCTTCTGGCAAAGAAACAGGAATGTCGGCATGTTTGTAAGCTCTGTCTGTCCAATTCCCCCTTTTCCAGGGACCAAACTTACTTGGTTTCCTTCCCTAGAAAGTTCAGCTCAGTGCCACATTTGTCCATTCTCTCTTTCTCAGACAGAGCAAACACGGTGCTCTGTCGGGGTGACCAAGCAGTGCACGGTAGAATCCTGCCTGCCGGCTAACCCAGCCCTGGTGCCGGTTTCCACTTGCACGTGGCGTGTCGTGTTTTCTGTTGGTTGTCATTCTGCATGCGGTATTTATCATGGGCCTCTCGCATCGTTGTGTCTTTGTGCATCGCTGCCGCGCTCAAGCTTCCCGGTTTTTCAGCTGCACGCCGCAGCAGGTCGACTTCAGACCATCGTTAGTGTATGTCCTGTGTAAGTTGGTTTTAAATTAGTAAGATTCTTTAAAAACATGCTATCTGCGACTGTAAGGCCTCTGGAAGTTAGCAAGGGTTGTTCTGAGCACATCGAGCTTTACCTGACCTGCAGTTACGCTGCTCTGTAACACCGACACTGGTAGTAGCTAAAGAGAAACCGAAACTCCGTTACGTAAGGGCTCGGGCTGTGTATTTGTTCTGCCTTCGTTGTCCAGCTGTGGCGATGGCAATTTAGTCATGGGTGTGCCAAATGACAGGGAACCTTGTCATGATTCAGGGAGCGAGTATGAACCTCTGAACCCATTTCATGCTGCAGACCTACAGGGAAGTTGCTGCTGTGAAAAATACTGTATCTTGGATGCATTTTCTGAATTTAAAATGCCTTTTGCATTCAACCAGCATGTCTGGAATTGGATCATGGTCCTTGCTGTTGCTGTAGCTGAGTGAGCAGAGGCAGCGGCCTGCTGGCTACGCGTGACGTGCACGGGGCAGCGTAACTTCTTGATGGAGTCCTGTGGACAGCAACAGAGTTTCAGGGAGGTAGCAGCAGATGCCTTGGACAGGGTTAGGTCTGCTAGCCTGACAGACATGTCCCTAACACAGTGTGTAACAGACCACATTACTGCTATTAACAAATTACAATGAGCAGATGATAACTGGCATACTTCCTGTAGTCTCTGGGATCCCTCAAGTTCTGGGAGCTGCAGTGCTGAGCAAGCATTTCGGAAGTGGGGCGCTTTCCAGGCCAGCAGTGGTTAGCAGACCTGGACTGCTGTCATGGAATCATAAATTACCTCCTCCAAGGTCTGCTGGGCTTTCGCTCTGGTTTGCCCAGATAACAGTATCCCCAAAGCATATTTTGATACTGTACTTTGTCCCAGGATCCCTTCTCTCCGAGTGCTGGCTGTCCGCTGCGCGGAGGTGACGAGCAGAAAATACCTTTGGTTCGAGTGGCTTAAAATATTACTCCAGATAGAGTTTTGGTACTAGAGGCTTTTAGCTGTTCCTACGTTCTTCAAAGCTTTCAGCATCTTAATGGTTACCTTTCTAAAAGCTTCCTTTTGTGAGATACTTCTGCACCCCATGCACATTACTCGGTCACAGGGCTGTCTTTCTGCCCTCACGTAGCCATTACGGAGCTTCAGACTTCTAGCGTGTGACTGGCACGTTCCAATGCAGGGTCAAAAAAACCTCCAAATTATTATTGTTGTTACCCTTTTTTCATGGTTATGAGAAAATATGTCAGTTTTTCACTTCGTTCTTCAGCGTTCTGTCAACTTCCGGCATTATTTCTTCTGCAGAGAAAAGGCCTTGTGGGCCTGAACCTGTGTCTATCAACAGGCCACTCTAGTTTGCACAAAGGCTTCACACCCTGTATTTTTATGTGCGCCTGAGCCACCTGATAAGCTTTCCCTTTAGACAGGCAGAGACACAAATGCTCTACCAGATACTCGGGCATCACCTTCAGCTGCTGCAGAAACAGGCCAGTTGGAGCTACCACGTGGCTGGCGGGAGCAGCCAGCTTAACACCGCCTTGCCAAACAGCCAGCGGGGTGGCGAAGCTGGATACCAAGTTCAGAGCAGTATTTCAGTTTGAATCATGCAGCTGTAACAGCACTGCCATTCAGCTGCCTGTAGTGAAGTCTTTACTAATGTGTTTTCTTCCTTATTTTGCCCTTTGATAACTACAGTTTCTTGAGTTCGCGTGGGTTCGTGTCCTGCCGCCGCTGTTTGCGGAGCTGTCGGCACCACTCTTGGTTGTGTGAAGAGGGAAAGGGAAGGTCCTGTTCTCCCCTCCTTGTGTGTGCTGGCACAGGTTGGGGGAATGAGAGGATACAGTGTAATTGTTGTTGGCATGCGTGTGATGTATCCTACTCCTAAACCAAATTTCTGCTAACATCTAGAAGCACTACTTCTTGTACTACAAATATCTTAATTTAAAATGACTTTCTAATGACTGATTTTTATAGCGCTGCAACGTAACAGCCTGGGCTGTTTTGTGTCCAAACAGCCTGGGCAAAAAGAGCAACTCTGAAACGAATGAAAATCCTTATTTCTACCATACGGGTTTTTCCCCTCAGGTTCCTTTGCAACAGCTTCCTGCCTGATCTGTAAATACAAAGTTGATTGTGAAGTTGTTCGAGGAGATATTTTCAATCAGGTAAAAATTTACTTTTAACTCATTGCAGCTTTCTAATAAGTAACTCTCAAAAGAACCCCAAAACGCCACCCTCGGATTGCTTGAAATACCTGCTTTTAAAAGGCTCCGTATTGTTGCATGTATGTCATAAAAGTGCCTATCTGTATTTTAGCATTAAAAGTACGCTCGATTACTATACTGCAAAAAATAGGCAATGGGACAAAGCAGAACAAAACCCCAAGAGTCTGTTTTTAGTGGCACCTCCAAAAAAAAAGCCGAGGTTAAAATGGTAAGTAGAAGGTTGGATTTATACCTCTTTTCAGTTACTCTCACGGTCACACTGAGAAAGCAGGGTTAGCCCTTTATAACTTTGGTTACTCTTTGAGCGTCTACCTATGTTAAAAATATGTTGAAAGAGGAGGCGGTGCATGGAGAAATTGCTAACTGCAGAGCAGCCTCTGAGGAAGGAAGGGGATCAGTGGAAACGAGAAGTCTGACGTGTGCTTTCTAGGATTTTGGAACTATTCCATATTCCGAACTCCCCACATCTGGGTGGGAAGTTGCCCAGGGAACTCTTGCCCAGGGCCAAGGCAAGAGTTAGTTCTGCTCTGTCAGAGCAGATGAACCTTTGGCTTGGTGAGAGCCTCTTTGCTCTCCTTCCCTTCCTTTTGAATGAGCAGAAACGACTGTTCTCTGATCAAGAGGATATTGTTTATACAAAGGGAAGGGGACTCTCTGCAGGCTCAGGTGGTTTTGATGAATTTTCAGAGTCCACAGTTGCAACTTTCGATAAGAAATGTGGAGGGGATGTAAATTTTGTGGTATTACATTTGAAATGAAACTCGATGAAAGCCTTTCAGATGAGATATTTGAGTGAAAGATTTAAGAAGTGTGAACCTCGTAGGCCTGAGCTTTGTAACACTGACATGTTGTATGTGAAATCTGATTTACTTTGCTTGTAAGAATATTATTTGTGAGAACTCTTTATCGTACAGATGTTTGCTGCTCCTTTGCCCTCAAAGCTTCTCTAGAGACATAAGAAGCCTTTACCTTCTGTTGCCTCTCTAGAATGCAGAATTTGGTTCCTTAGACACCTTTTCTGTACTTAGGAAACAGAATGCTGTCTGTTTCAAACCTGTCTTCCCTAAGAAATCCTCCTTCCCAAACACGGTTTGGCACCTGGGTCCATCCCAGTTTCTAGTCCCTGCTGTCCTCCACTACTTGAAACCTCAGTTATACGTGGCCCCAGGTCCTTAGTTCTCCCTAAAAACACTACCTTTACTTTGCTGTGGTCCATCCCCTGATGGATGTAAGTGCTTCACAAGGAACTGAGTCCAGCTAGCATCTCTCTGCCAGGATTTCCTTTCAACACATTGTAGACAGAATTATCTGAGATCATCTGTTTAGAAAACTACCAATTTCTTGCTGCTCTTCATTCTTTCACCACTTCAAAGGTGACCAGTTCCCTGTAGCATGATTCTTTCTCTTGGTCACTGTACACAACCATCCTCCTGGACAAGGAGCAGCGGCAGTTATAAATCACCCATGGAACTTGAGTAAAATAATTGTCAGTCACTTCCAAAAATGCCACTTTTACTTTGCTTTTGACTATTTTAAGGTAGCTTGAAGAAACAGTGAAAGGGTCTCAGATTTAGGAAGAAAAGACCCAGGAATTGGAAAATGTGCACCAGTTCTTGGATATTCTTAAGCCAAGGTAATCTTTACTAATCTTGTTTTTTATATACCAATAACATCAGTAGTCAATGAGAAACTCCATTTCTCTCTCACTGGACAAATACATCAGCAGAGGCGGTGGGGTTTTGGAGGAGTGCTACTTCTGGAAGGAAAGAGGACCCTAGGCAATTGAGTGGCCAATTACCTAGCTTTAACTTCTTGGTATCAATTTCAGCTCTTGGAATAGATCTTCCCCCTTACTGATGACCTTTCTGAGGATTAGCAGAGAAGCTGGTGAGTAATGTAGCATTGAAACACATTTATGGGCCCTTTACAGTGGCCCAGATCATTTGGATAGGGACATCTGTTGCTCTACAGAGATTCATTCAGGCACAAGTCGTTGGACTTCCTGCGGGAGATGATGGAAACAGAGTTAATATTAGTCTCTTCAAATCCGAAGTGAGAGGTCTTCATTTCATCTTCCACTTAACGCAGAGCAAATCATCTCGTTAAGCTTCCAGCTGAAAGTGCAAAGGCATCACTAACGCTAACGGAAGTGACAGCAGGGCACAAAGCTTCAGAAAGGTTGAAGCTGTTTCTGTGTTCTGAGCTCTCTTGCTAGTCTGTAAAGATCCAAGGGCAAAATTCAAGATCCATTCTATCCATCTGCTCCATTTTCAGGAATTCTTTAGCTGGTTTCCCTTTAGCACGGGGTTACTAGATGCTCATTAGCATGGGTACGTGGTTAAGGTTTTCCCCATACCAGCTCCTAGTTCTTGTGCCATATTGCCTCTTACACATCCCTCCCACAAGGTTTTCTTCAAAGAAGGGCTGGATTCTTTGTCTAAAGACGTACATTTTTGGGAAAGATGCTTTGACATGAGAGGAAAGCCTTTTACCTGTGATTTTTTCTCTTTGGAAATCATTGTCTTTCACTCTACTGCAGGCAAGAACTGGTCCTTTGAGTTAAACTTTCTAATCTCTGTATTATTTTTTCTGCGTACGTCCTCTGTACAGGAGGGAGTTATATGAAAATTACATTTAAATGCATATTTTTCCTATTACAGTAGGTAATAGACCTCTCTTACACCTTTACGTAGCACTGATTTACTTGGGATGACTGTGGTAGGATTGCAGCTACATTTAGCTCCTTAGATTGATTCTGGGATATTGTATTTTAACACTGCAGCTGAGACAACCTGAAGTATTTGAAAGAAAAATTGCTCAGAAGTAATTGAAATATCGTTTGTACACGTATTGCTCACCTTCTTGCTTTTCTTCTGACTGAAAAGTCTTAATGTAGGAAAGAGTTGAAAGGTCCCAAAGATCAGAAAAAACCCTGCTTTGAGGAGGAAAGGGAGCCTACTTCTCCACAAATGTATCTCGTGCCCGCTTTTTTTAGCGAACAAGGTCTCTGCTCTGGTTTTGGAGGAACTGGAAGAGTTTCAAATGGGGACCAAACAAAAGTTCTTGCCTAGGTTCCTGTCCTGTATGCTTTTTGCTAGCCACCTGCTATGGTGCCACGCTGCTTTACGTATGTGACACAGATACCCCTTGGAAGGAGAGGAGAAAGCAGAGGGGTAAAGCTCTACAACATGCTCTTTGATTAGGAAGGGGTTTATGGATCCTATAATGGAAACTGCCAGCAAAATCTGAAGTTTTTGCTTTGCTGTCAGATAAGGACTGTGGTGCACATCTGCACAATTTCTCCCTTTCGACGTTGAGGACTCCCTCTTTATTCATGCTGTAGTTCCATTTCTGTGTGCAGTTGCTGCAGGCCAGAGTAAGAAATGTGCTTGTCTGCATATCCACAGAAAAATGAAATGAGGAAATGTCACCGCAACTTCCTTTTCTTTATGCCAGAATAAGTCACTGTGAATTGCTAAAAACAGGCTTTTGGGGCGCAGCCTTGAGCTGCAGTGATGGAAGCTGTTCTCGTGCAGGTCGTGCCTCGATGTCCCTACCGCTCGCTATCATGAAGCCAGACATAGTGTTCTTTGGGGAGAACTTACCCGAGCAGTTCCATCGTGCCATGAAGTACGACAAAAATGAAGTTGATCTCCTTATTGTCATTGGGTCTTCACTGAAAGTAAGACCAGTAGCATTGATTCCAAGTAAGTGACTCTCTCCGGTAATATTTTTTTCCAAAACTTTGGATCAAAAGTGAAATTCTCAGTTAAGGGCTCTAAGAAATGCTTTTGGCTTCATTCAGCGAAGAAACTAGATTGAGCAGCTAGTTTCCTAAGGTGAAAAACTGACTGCCGATGTAAAGCTGAAGTGCAAAACAGAGAAAGTAAGTGCTTTTGCTGCACTCAAGATAACGAAATGCTAAGCTGAAAAACTGCTCTCCTAAAACCAGAGTGACTTTGTTCTGAGATTCCATTCAGTTTTCTCTCTGCAGTATCCTTCAGAGTTACTTGGAAGATTTAGAAAGGAATCATCTTGGACCTCATCTGATTTATCTGTTTCATCAGGTGTCCGAGTTGTCGCTCACTTTAAAGGCAGTACCTAACACTCGATGATACGCAGTGGGCGTTACGTAGCATATCTAGGCAGAGCCTGGCGTTTAGGCTGATGGGAGATGCATGAGGACTGGAAAGTTAGGATCCACTACACAAACCACTGCTCCTTCTGTGTCCTAGAACTGGGTTTCATTAGTTGGTTGTCTGAGGAATCAGTGCTAGGCTACCAAACGGGTGGGTTTTGGAACGCTAAGTGTCAGAAATGCATTGAGCAACCCTGTGCGGTGTGGAAGGATGTAGACTGGTTGGAGCGAGTCCAGAGGAGGCCACAAAGATGCTCCGAGGGCTGGAGCCCCTCTGCTCTGGGGACAGGCTGAGAGAGTTGGGCTTGTTCAGCCTGGAGAAGAGAAGGCTCCGGGGAGACCTTATTGCACCTTCCAGTGCCTGAAGGGGCCACAAGGAAGCTGGGGGGGGACTTTTTACGAGGGCCTGTAGTGACAGGACAAGGGGGAATGGGTTTAAATTGAAAGCGGGGAGATTTAGATTGGATTTCAGGAAGAAATTCTTCCCAGAGAGGGTGGGGAGGCACTGGAACAGGTTGCCCAGAGGAGCTGTGGATGCCCCATCCCTGGAAGTGTTCAAGGCCAGGCTGGATGAGGCTTGGAGCAACCGGGTCTAGTGGAAGGTGTCCCTGCCCATGGCAGGGGGTTGGAACTGGATGATCTTTAAGGTCCCTTCCAACCCCAACCATTCTGGGATTCTATGATTGTGCCTGCAAATATTTTGACCTAATGAAGGGGGTGTCATTTACCAGCAGTTTCATGTGCACGTAAGTACGTAAAACGAATGCACAAAATCAATATAATTCATCTAAGAGGTGATAATACCAATTTTAATCCTCATCTTAACACTTGACAAAACATTGCTGAGGTCAGTATTTCTGTGCACGTATTTCTCAGTGATTGAGTAGAGGAATGCCTTCTTACTGGAAAAAAAATGGGGGGAGGGGAGCCTAGATAGATAGGACACAGGAGGCCCAGCAGCTCAACTGCGGCTGTCAAACTTGGGATTTGCTTGCTGCCTTCCTGTTCTGTCTGTCTGGGTTTTGTTGCAAGGGGAGGGAGGAAGAGAAGTCTGAGGAATTGGACTTTGTAAGCAGCTCTCTGCTGAAGGTAAAACTGAAGTGACTACCCTTACATTCTCTTTTCTGTATATAGGTTCCATCCCCCATGAAGTGCCTCAGATCTTAATTAATAGGGAACCTTTGCCTCATCTACACTTTGACGTGGAGCTGCTTGGAGACTGTGACGTTATAATTAATGAATTATGTCAAAGGCTAGGGAGCGAATATACAAAACTTTGCTACAACTCGGTAAAACTTTCCGAAATAACAGAAAAGCCTCCGCGAACGCACAAGGAGCTCGAAATGCACTCCTCTGAGCTACCGCCTACCCCCTTAAACATTTCCGAAGGCTCTAGTTCGCCAGAAGGAATGACTCCACCAGATGCATCGGAGGTGGCTTCCGAACACCCAGCTGAATGTAAGGTAGGAAACTCTGATCCTGCCTCCGAGACTAAAGGGACCTGCACGGAGGAGAAGCTTCAGGACACACAGACATCGTCAGAAAACCTTGAAAATACTACTAGTGAACTAATGAACTCTGAAACCATGAAGGAAAATGGCTCTAACAATGGAGAAAATAAAGAAAAAAATGAAATACTGAAGAAGTGCTGGGTAAACAGATCTGCAAAAGAACAGATTAGCAAGAGGCTGGATGGTAAGTGGTAACTCACTTCAGTACTTTGCATTTATTGGCCGAGATGTTTATGCTAGACTTACTTTAAAGCAGTTAGTAAGTTACCCTTGAGGGAATCGGTGGGTTTTGGGGGTTATTTTTGTTCAGACAAGTGGCTACATAACTCATCATTGTATCATTTCTTTCTTTTGAAGAACCTGATGGAAATATTTTTGTAATTTTATAATAGGGCTTGTAATCAGTGATCACACATTCCCTAAAATGTTTAGGAGGTTGGAGGGGGAGGAAATCAGTTTCTAACATTTTCAAATGCATTTTCAGAAAAACTAGTTTTTCTCGCAGCTGGTCACACTAGGCTGTGATTTGGTGTGGTAGTAGAACTGACAGACGAAGTCATGGTAGGAGTTGAAAAGCAAATCTCACAGCTGGAGCCAGGCATGGTTTGAAGGAGACTTTAGACTTTCCAAGGAGGTGTTCCAGTATGCAGTCTGCTTACTGATGTAAGGAGTTACCACACTAGGAAATCGGTGTGGATGAAGAACCAGGTATCAAATTGCCACTTTCCAGAGCAAAGGCTGTTTTTAAACCTTGGCAAATACTCTGTGCAGCAGGTTCCAGTTCTTTACAAGTAATGGAAATCTAGCTGTGAATATATGTACCCATGAAAAAACGCTGCAAAACGTTAAAGTTTAAATGCTCTTTAGTGTGAAAGGGACAGGGGAGAAGGAATGCTGAGCTTCCCAGTGACGTATTTGGTTTCTGCTTCATAATAAACACACAGATATTGCAATGAATGCGTTTCTATGTAATCCGATTTGTCAGTTAAGTTCCACTGTTGAAAACACATGTATGCAGGTACCTTCTAACCACAAGTCTGCAAGACCTTGTATGAATCACTTATTTTAGCCTTTTACTGACTCTTTAAAATTCCGTTTCAGGTACTCAGTATCTGTTTTTACCACCAAATCGCTATATTTTCCATGGTGCTGAGGTGTACTCAGATTCTGAAGATGATGTCATATCTTCTAGCTCTTGTGGGAGTAGTAGTGAAAGTGGTTCGTGTCGTAGTCAGAGCTTAGATGTGGAGGACGAGAGTGAGATGGAAGAGTTTTACAACGGCATAGAGGATGAAGATGCACCTGAAAGGGAAGGGGAACCCGGATTCGGGGAAGATGGGGCGGAACAGGATGAATTGGCAGCTGATGAACCAGCTTACGCGAATGAAGCTGCAGGGACTGATCATCCAGGCGACAAGTTCTAAGGTGATGGCTGACTGGTTACAGGAACTTTCCACCAGCATTAGGGGGCTTTGGCATGTCAGAATGAATGTTTACGTCTGAATTTAGAGCAACAAAAGCATAAGGATGTAGTGTTTATAAATAACTAAAACAGATTTTCATGCTTAGTTTTTTACCTTTTTCAATAAAATTCTATTACTGCACACTCAACACTAACTCATTTTTTTTTTAAGGTACTAGGAATATCTGAACAACTGTCACTCTGTTCACTTTTACGTTCATCGGTCTGATCAGGCATCCATGTATATAATACATAGTTTTGCTTAATGAATTTCAGCCTATATTATTTTTAAACAGTTTTGAAAAAGCCATTGGAATGTTAAACTAATATAAAGGGAACAGCTAATTTAGACCAAAGAATGGTATTTTCACACCTCTTGCTTTGTAACAGTTTATTTCAAACCTTCTTACGCTTCCGCTCAACCTTTCGTTCTCGCCTAGTCTGTCATTAAACACTGGCATTTTCTAAGACCTACTGTGGCAGCTAATTTTTTTTGCTTTAACAGTAACTTTGTATGTTTGAGACATACTTAAATGTGAGTAGATAGTTAAACGGAAACAAGACAGCGAGCACTGGAGAAAGGCGCTGTTTGAGGCTGGTCGAGAAGCGCTGTGACAGTGCTTAGATGACGGAGTTCAACACTTCCTGGTGGCAGTGATTACACTGGTGTTTCAAACAGAAGGGATCCCCCACAGTAGAAACTTGTTCATGTTGTACACAAAAGTCAAACACGGCGCAGCTTGCATTAAAACCAGCACTGGCCGAGCGGCCAGGGCCGCAGTGTGGAAGCTAGGCTGAGGTTAGAGAAACGTTGCTACCAGCATGGGAGACGGCACAAATACGTAAGCTCTTCCTTTATACTTTTTGATGCAACAGAACCAGGAAAACCAAACCGAAGTAGCCAGAGCCTGAGCAGTGGCCAAAAGCCACACCACCACCTAGCCTGGAAGCAGGCCGTTCCAAGGCTGCAGCTACACTTGGGAAAATAGTTGTCCACATGCTAGCTCCACCTTGCATAGTAAAAACAAAGCAGCTACTACATTGTGTTTCAAGTGCTGGGCTGCCTTAAAACTGGGTGTTGCACGTTTTCCAAGTGTGGGTCATTTCCAAGCCTTCGGAACAATTTTGTAAAATCGCACAGTGCAGTAGTAAGCGAAAGCGTGTTGTTCTAGAAACCACTTTTTCAACCTTGGCCCAAGTGAACTCTACAAGGTAGGTTATTCACATACTTTGCTTTAATATTTATTACAGTTTGGAAGATGTATAGTAGCTGTTCTTTGAACATAAGATACATAACTCTGAGTATTTAAGAACAGCCTCCTGTTTTCATCAGAAAATGCTGGCATGTTGTCTCATTGTCCAAATTCAATATAGCAATTATTTGGCTACACTAAAGACTGCAGTATGTTTAGTTTTCACTTGCATGTCACAATGTATTAGTTTGTGCTATAGGAGATATTTTAAATTGAAATACTTTGTTTTAAATTATTTTTACAGTGAGGATTGTTTTCTGCTCTTTTATATTGTATATAGTGTCTTTTATGTAATCTACTGGCCTATGTTTTGTAGAAGACTGTTTAAAATGACTGGCTATCTTCCTGCAACTTTTGAAATACAAAACCAGTGTTTTATACTCGTACACTCTGTTCTAAAGTCTATTAAAATTGTCATTTGAATTCTGGCTTCTGTTAATTTCTAGTTACATCTTAAAAACTTCCCAAAAGATGCCTTATAAAGTCAAGGCACGCCCTAGCTAACATCAGGCAGTAAGTAAATCACGTGGCGTCCTCACACCCCGGCCCAGCCACGGGCAAAGCCCAACAGCTGAAAGCCCTGTGCGGGTCGGCCCTTGGTGTGTCCCGTGGCTTCCTGGGGACTGCACGGACACCACCACACTGCAGACCCACTCCTGTGGGCCCTCGAAGGCCAGGGCCCAGGTTCATTGGTTGTCCACTATGTAACACCTTACTGTTTTGGTGACTGCACTCTACTTCCAAACAACCATCCCTCAAATATGTTACACTTAGGCAAAAAAAATTTGTTTATAAAACTCACACACTTGAGAGATGAAATAAAGTACTAAAAACACAAAGAATTTTTTACACAGATAATGCTTCCCTATCAATTACTATTGCTCTGAAAGGACTTGGAAACATTTTTCTTCCGGAATAAAGGAGTTGCACGTTTCTCTACACCTAGATAAAGCAGCTCTGCTTTTTGTTCTTGTATCTGCCAATGTTACCTGATCAGAACACCACCAGACTACAGTGTGTTGCCTTATTCCTCCATTTCACACACTGTCCTCTCCCCACACCAAAGCTGTCCACTTCAAAAACCGTTTAAAACAATCACATTAGAGGTATCACAGCTCCCTGTTATCCCCAAGCATTCAGCATCTTATATCAAAGTCATCTGGATGCGTGGGAGAGCGTGTTCTGTTCCGCCTGTGATATGTAAATCTCCCTAAGGGAGATACCTTCTTTTTCTCATCGTTTGCATCACTACCCTATGAACGCATCTTCACCCTCTTGGGATTTATATTAAACAGACGCACCGAAACACGCAAAGAACAAGCATTTGTTTCACAAGCCGGTGGCGTTCCTCAGCCCCCTTCGGCCTATCTCGATGCGTGAGACACAGCGATGACTTCGGAGAAGCATTTCAAGTGAGGTACAAAGTCCGCGTTTAAAAGCGCTGTCACGAGTTGTTCGTAATGGCCGTGTACTCTCTGTGGGTCTGTCTCGAATCCAGTGTATTTGTAATTCGTGAGTTTGATTGTGGAAAATACATGACATTTTTTAAATGCATGACAGCAGTGTCAAACAACATCCCATTGGGAGAGGCTGCAAGAGTACAAAGCCTGAATGAAACCAGCATTCACAATCAATCTGAAACGCCGAACAAAGTCAGGAAGATGCAGTTCAGTACCTCCGGTTCAATATCTGTGCTTACCTTGCGAACCAGAATGGTCAAATCTAAAGGCAGCTGCAATTATTTGCCTAATACACTTATCCACAGAGTGACTGGAGAATAAAATCCAGTTCAAAATGCAGAATTTCAGGCTAAACCAAGTGGCTGTATCTGTGTAACAACGGGTTCTAAACTAGCTACAGCTCATCAAGAGAAGTCACGGAGGCAGAACAGCACCCTCAGTACAGTCACTCTGCTTAGCAGTGTTGAGACGACGCACGGGCTGCTAAGACTCAGTAGGAAAAGTAATAGTATACTACTAATGGTGCCTGAAGGGAAAAGAGTTGCTCTTTACTCTCCCAACATGAGGCCCAAGGCCTATTCAGCTGAAGATGCAGAAAAGCAAAGGCAACAAGTAAACCATCGCACACCAACCATGGGACTCTCTGCCGCAGGATGCTGGGAGCTCAAAGCAGCCTCAAAAAAGAATTGGGCAAGTTGAGGTGGGACAGGACTACCAAAGCTCCCTGAGGAGGATTCCAAGAAAAGAGTATTTTCCTCTCCCTATGCTCCCCTCTAAGCACCTGGGTTAGCTACAGCGGGCGAGTTTGTACCTCAGATTAACGCAGAACGGCAGTTCTCCCGTGAAACAGAGGAGTGCTTCCGAGTGCTCTGTACAGCTGATTATACCGGCGCTTTTAAACAACAGGCTGAGCAACCCCTTGCAAGGTGCACCCTGAGCGTCTACTCACCCTGCCTTGGAGGCGGTGGAGGCAGATACGTGACCGCAGGCCTTTAAACGACTATGGCTCCTAAGAGGCAGAAACCAGAGTGCTCTGTGACTACGGGCCTGTTGTTCGTACGCTCTCAGAGCTAGAGATGCACTGCCGCCCCTGCAAATTAAGTTATAGATTCTTGATATTCCTAGCAAGTGAGCATGTTTTTGAAAGCCACAAAGAAAACACAATTCCAAAGGCCTGAAAACCAACATACAAACACATTCCAATGAGTTTCTGTTGGTTTTTTACTCTGTGCAATTATTCTTTCCAACAGCAAAACACCGCTGCCGCGCTCATGCCTCGGCTGACGGAACCCCTCTCCCCAGCAGCAGGTGGATGGCTTACGTGGAGCCCCGATACCTGGATCGCACCTGCAGCTGGTGTATTTGCCCAAAAAAGGGAAGGAAACTTAACTTTTGAACTCTACTCAAACCAAAGTCTTCATTTAATAGTATTCTCTTTCTTTACTGAAAATCAGGCATGTGGGGGGAAACAGTGAATACCTGTAGACATCCACAGCCCCCCCAGTGTAGGATTCACATGCTCTGGCCATGACCCGTTGACAAGACCAGGCTGGAGCCTTGGTGAGATAAAGATCGCCACTAGCACCATACACACCAACCATGCTGAATAATGTAATAGCTCCATAGTTCCTACTTGGAACACTATTCAAAACTTCATTTTTTCCTTTCTAAGGATCTGAGACTGATGCATATGCCTTTGGCTGGAGAAAAAAAATAACGCTGACTCCTACCCCAGCCCACCCAAGTTCTGTGATCACACTCCTGGCATCAGCACCACCTTACTGCGTTGTTTTGCAAAGATCAGTAATGTATGTTCAGACCCAAGGGATAGGCAGCAACTCAGACTGTTCAGTCTACTGGTAACGCAGACCAGTAGGTCCGTACACAGGTTACTTTGGCACAGTTCTAGCACGCCTATGGCACTGCCTCAGTTGGGTTTAGGTGACTTTTTTTTTTTTACATTATTTTTCCCCTTTAGTTTTCTTGTGGTCAGAAGACAAAAAGGCATCTTTCCCCTTCAACAGATCTGCATCAGTACAGAAACAGGGAAGCAAAGGTTTGCAGTTAGAAAGTTTAGCGCACTCCACTTGCAGAAAGGAAGTCAGCGTATGAACAGGCTCCTTATGAAAAAAAAATTGAGGACTCAGTCACACAGTCAGGAAACTCAAGTGTACAGAAGTTATGGCTGGTGGTGTTACTTATTGATTAAATGTGCATGTATTCCAGGAAATCAGTCAAGGGGATTTCTTGGGGGCTCTAAGGTGTAGTATTAAATCTGGCTAGGGCAGGTGATAGAAGATGGTCTAAGCAAGGTTTTGAAAGCTACTGCTCCAAACTTGATCAAAGCTGAACAGCACACTGAGAGACAGACATAGTAGCCTGATGATTAGCTGACCCAAACCCCACACTGACCTACCAATTAAGCAATACCCACGTGGTAAGTAATAATAACTGTCACTTACCAGGCAAAACAAATTTTGTTCCTCCTCTTTGTTTTCCTCGCCTCAACAACTGAGTAAGTTGCAAGCAGCACACAGAGACACATGGTTCTGGTTGCACAAAGGAGAAAGTGAGTGCAGCCATTCTTGTGGTGCTCACTATATGCCAGTTTATCGTGCTGAAAACTACATGAAAAGAAAGCTTTCATTCTATGTTTATCTTAACTGCATAACCTCACGTGCCTTTAAGTAAAGTGCTCTCTTCTGTAGTCGTTTATATTTGATTACACTAAGCCTCGTTTATTCCTGATCAAGCTTATCGCAGCAGAGAGCAGCGCAAAGAATTACAATTTAATTACTTTTTAAAGCAGCATATAAACCTTCTTGAAGGGAATAATGTGGCTCTACATTAATAACCACCTCACACGTAGTAACTCCCATGCAGTGCCAAAGGAGAAAGTCATTATCCTTAAGCAGGGCTCATGGCTTCAGTGGTTCTACACTGGCACAGAGCAACAGGGTTCAGATCACCCCGGGAAAACAAGGGACAAACCTCTGCTATACACAGAGGTGAAACAGCCTGTGTAGTTCTGTCACACAAATTCCATTTTCAGCCCTGTACTAACAGGACAGGTGCAATAAAGCCAGTACAACTGCACTGCTGTGACAAGTCCTCCTTCAGTATCCGTGATGGGAGACAGCTACAAGTTTGACACAAAACCAGCATTCTCCAGTGGTAGTTGTGAATCTTTATCGAAGAGCTAATCTAATTATCAAGTAAAAACACTTTCTTTAAAGATTTTTCATTATTGTAAAATGTTCCCACTGAAGCCCCAACTACTACTATCTCCCAATTGCTTCTATCATCCTTCTTCAAAAAGTGGTATGCAAGCTTTCCTGATCAGCTGGAGATTTGACCAGGAGGAAGGCCCTAGGTTCCATTAACACCACGGCTGTTTTAGTGAAGCATAGAATGGGGTTCTCACATGACACACATCATCAAATGTTGTATGCAAAGTGATATTTGATTGAGGAAAGAGAAAGCAGTTCCTGCTGCCCACCTTTTTCCAGCCAGAAGAAACACTTAAGAGTACAGCTCCTGCAGAGATCACTGACAGGGCCGCCATGGCTGTTGTGAACAGAACTAGTGGCAACATAAATATAGCAGGAAGCATAGAACTGCTTGACAGAAGTAACATAATGACTAGTAATTGTTCTAGTTACTACATAAAAGTCTTTTACCTTCTTATGTAGATGTCTGTTTTGCACAGGGCACCTGCCTCGCTGGACAGAATGAGCTAACACCTGTAAGATAATCAGGAGCATTTAGCAAACACCATCATGGCCTGTAGGCCCCAACGCCACTTCTTGCAGAGGTGGATAAAACCAAGGCCAAAATGGCAGAAAGAAGTGAATGCTGTCCTGAGGGAAGCGTCACTAGCCCTGCTCTGCCAGTGGGTTCTTAACGTGGCATTTAACCAACCATTCAACACCCCTCACCCTCCCAGTGCTTAGTAATGTCCACTAATGTTCCAAGAGAGTAAGAAACATGTTTTGCTGATGCCAGAAAAACTTTTGCAGCCACATGAAGTAGTTGCCACAGCAGTTTTAGTCAATGATAACCGCACTTCAGGGATAAAGAACATTTAAGTTCTCTGGCACATCCTAAATTGGGCACCAAAAATATTTGGACCTGTGCTACGGAGCATAAAACCTCCCTATTATTCAGTGAACACCATCAACTGTGTACACTGAATGAAGCAAGAGTCCCATAGGAAAAACCCCAGCACTTGATTATGTAATAATACACAAGGGAAAAGTAAGAAGACAGCTTTACATTAGCCACTTCCTAATTTTTGAGTATTTGCCTTTGCAATCTTGGGGTTTCATATAACTTAAAAATACTCTTTGACTACTACCTGGTAGAATGAAGGCATAATATTTCTTTTTTCCCCCCCTTCCTTTTCTCCTTTTCTTTCTTGCGTGTATAGTAAACTTAAGCTGCTTTAGCATTTGTTGGTTTCTTGCTTTGCACAAGAGGGAAAATTTCCCAGCCAGGGAACAAATGTTGGAAAAGGTGGCATGCAGGCTGCACACAAAGAAATTACTGAAGGTTACGCTGCATGAGAAAGCTGTGAGAAGCTGTGTTAAGGAAAACAGAATGGTTGCAATTGTGGTGACTGCTTTGTATTATCCCCAACTACCGCCAGCACAGAGATTGCATGTTATACAGCGTATTACAACGAATGGATTTCCCCCCTTTTCAATAGAGATCCTTGTATCCCAGCTATGCTCTCGATTTAATGCGTGCAACAGTTGCCCTCCAGCTGAAGAAACAGGCACGATGCAAGCATCCATACACATCACCCAACAAAGCTTTTCATTCAAGTCTTTTATTATAGCTTGAATTTTTTTTCACTGCATTTAAAAATCTAAAAAAAATAAATATTTGTTTCACAGCTGCAAGTCACATATGCATTAACACCACAAAATCTGGAATTTAACCAGAGAAGGAAAGTCAAATCCAAAAGTGTCCAGCTAAGCACAATCGTCTCAGGGCAATTATACTAAAAATAAAATCTTAAGAAAAGGGGAAAGGGGTGTTAAAGAGTTATTTCAAATGCATTTATCTGGAAAAAAGTGAAAATTCTATTAGAAACCATAAACTACGCTTTCAGCATTTAAAAATAAATGTTTAACCTCTTGACAGCAACAATTGTCTGGTGCATCTTTTCCTTTTAAGCTGTATTCTTGACACATGGCTGCAGAGGTTTCAAATGATAAATTAACCTCTTTTATAATTGTGTCCACTTAATTGCAGAATCAGTCCTTAAAAATAAAACAGTGTATTAAGTCAGCTTGTCCATCCACACATTAAAAATGCCATTGTATGCTGTTTAGTATCGGCACTAAGTGACTGCTCCATGGATTGTACATTGTGAAGACAAGAGTCTCAAACAATCACTTTTGTTATTAAGGTTCTTAAAACAAACCAGAAAAATATATATCTTCAGAAATCAGAGTAGTCACTTTTTTTTGTTAAAAGCCATAAAATAAGCTCATATTCAATTACAAGCAATAGAAACCATACTGCTATTGGAACATAATTATTTTATCACAAAAATTTATTATTTACAAAATGAAAAGTTACCAAGTGAATTTATCAGGGGAAAAGTTAAATGTTCTAAGTGACTTGGAAAACTTAAGCGAGTCTCTCATGCACTCACACGCCAAATCATTCGCATATTGTGGAACGTTAATTCATGTCAGTGACACTTGACTCCCAATCACAATACTCCCGTTTTTATTGTAAGATGGCAAAATCCACATGTTTCTGTACAAGAAAGTATGTATTAAGACAGTTCCTCACTTCTGTAAATGGGGTTTTTTTTGGCTCCCATGAATATCCGTACCACTGAACATTTTTGAAAGTAATCTGTTATATTATCAACTCCATCATTTAATCCACTGAATTTACCACCACAAGACACAAAAAGTTAATGATCCCACGTTACACAGAACTCTCATTTCTGAAGTTATACTAAACTGAAGCCTTCATAGTGATCTATAGCCTGGATGAGCTTAGATTTTAGGGTTTCTTTATCTGTGTATTTTGGAAGATCAAGAAGATTAAAGCAAGTGTGAGCTACCGGAAGGTAACCTTCTCCACCTCCTGTTGGTTGGATGACTAGTTTAAGACACTTCATTCCAAGAATTGGGATGCGATCACTGCCTGTCAGAAACACTGCCAAGAAAAAACAAATGAAAAAGATCTTGAAAGTAGTTTAAGACTACCACTGTATGTGTCATCTATGCAGCTCCAATCTGAAAAACAGGGAACAATGACTTAAGCCCATCTCCAGTTTGCACATATGGACTCTTAACTGTAACACAGCAAGTGCTATACAAAGGAAAAAAAATTCATTTTAGCATATATGAGAGAGAATTTCTTCATGCATCAGAATTTGTTATTTAAAATCCATTTGCTCTATCTTTATCGAGCATTTGCAAACATCTTTTAAAGACAGAGAATGAGTTTGTTCAATAAGAAATGTATCTGAATTGGAAACTACTTGTAAATGAGCTTTTGTTGAGTTTAGATCACAAGAAGCTTCGATAACTTGGATTTTTCCCTGTACATCTCCACTAATAGCATTACCCTGAGTATTTACAATGAGTTATAACTCCAAAATTCCATCTGTGTGCAATGAAAATAGCAGACATGAACCTTAGGTCAAAACACAGAAAAAGCCATCCTAGTCATCAGCTAAATGACATTAGCAATTCAGGCAGTTGGGGTTTTGTTTTTTTTTTTTTTTTTTTTAATGCTGCTCTGGTCCACTGTGATGTTGTAACTGCTCACGACCCAGAATTATCAGGGCAACTCCAGCAAAACCAGAGACAAATAATCAGTTTCTTCTGCTACAATTATTTTCTTCCAAATGAAGTTAATCACATTGTTATAGACAAATACTTAACATCTGTCCTCTTACAGCAAAAGCCTGAAATCACAGTGCTCCTGTTCAGTTAGCAACCTCTGCAAAGTAGCTTCAAATACTTACACAAAAACTGTTTTTTCTTCTCCAAAGACAACTCATGAAAAACCTCCCAGAATATTTTAATTGTAGGATGGTCCGCCCAGTATTCTCCTTTGTACTCTGTATTCTAAAATGAGCAGGAAATTAGGTTACTGTCTGCACACAGAACTAGCAGGATAACCTGATATTCAAGTAGAACAAAGTCAGCTGGTGTAAAGGGACACTGCAAGTGACCTATTACTGTTTTCCTTGGTCAATATCCTTCAGCAGATCAGTCTGACTTCAACTCCATAGACAGATGCATGTACTCCAAAGCATTTTCAATCCCAATAAAGTAGTGACAAAGCCTCATAGTTGAGTTTTGGCAAATCAAGAATACTGTCATTAACTGTGTGCATCGTTGTTCACTTCCCCCTTCTACCATAACATAGTGTACACAGCTGCCTTTTGGTTCCGTATGGGTTTTTTTCCTCTCCAAGTCTGATTTCCTTTAGAAATTAGATGGAAAAATTTTAAGCAAGAAGGTAACTAATGTTTTAGTGTCTTTATTCACTGACATTTTAAAAAAAACAGTTAGTCCAAACAAGGGTGGAAGTCACATGAATAAAAACAGAGCTCAAAATGAGACTTTAAGATCTTGTTTTTCCATCTTGAAATGTAAAAATGTATGTAACAAGTAGCAAAGTATGGTCTTACCTTCTCCAATTCTTTCCAATCATAATTTGTGTTCCCAATCACCATTGCCTGCAACTCGCTGGGTTGGAAGAGCTGAAGAACTTTACCCCCACATACTTTGTGGAAGCCTGCATGGAATGCACTGAATAAGGAAGCCACAGATTTATTGAAGATGTAATCCACATATGCATCTACGAAGTCTTGCCTACACGAAGAAAGAGAATTATGCTGAGGGGGGGGGGGAAAAAACCCCAACCAACCACCCAACATGTGTCACCCTTCACCAATAAGAGAGTAGCCATTTCTGTAGAGAACACACAAAGTTAAGCAAAAAGAATCATAATATGTTATATTCTCTGCTTCACGTTACAACCACAGTGAAGGTAACCTCAATGAAAATGGCACATAAATGTATTTCCTCACCACGCCCCCCAAGACAGAGTCCCTAATGTGCAACAGAAAACACTAAAGTTCAGCGTTATTTATGTCAGGCACTATAAACACATCTCTTATTTGTATGTGCTGCAGGGAATTGGACTGAATGGCAACAAGCTTCAAGGCTTGAACTCCACTGCAGTGCCAGGAAACCAACTGGTCAAACTCGCTGCTGTATTTTTTGAAATAAAAGGGATTACCATATTTGTGCTAAAAATGCAAATCAACTTCAAACAGACATTTGAGTCCTGTACAGTAGAAAGATCAGTGCATAGGAGCCGGGATACTGAAAAGCAGATGGCCTGTTATCTGTGCTTCAGTACAAGGAGTTCTCATACGATATTTACAGTTATAATCTTGGGTTTGTTCTTTTTTTTTTGGTAATTACCATTTTAATCAATCCTAGTTAACACTGTTCTTTTCTACACTGGCAGAGTGACTTCAGTCACAGATTAGTTATCCTCCAACATACATTTCCTGGTGGAAACCCACCGCTTTTCAACAACACCCACAGTATTTGAATGACACCACCAATCACTTAAAGAATCATCTAAACACATTCTAACAACAGATTTATTAAAGTTGTTGAACTGAAAATCCTGGAGTGGTAAATCACTCTCCTCCTCTTCCAGCACGCAATGAGACGTGCATTTTATGCATGCTACGGAATTAGCAGAGAAGCAGCTAACTTGCGTAATACCAACAGCGGAAGGAAAGGCTGCTCCAGAGAAAATTCACAGCAATAAAATAATTAGCGTTATTATACTCCATATTACTGTTTTTAAAACTGAACTAAAGCATCATGGAATATTTGGATCTTGAGAAACAGGAATACTTCACTGCTGCAAGACACCAGGTGACAACAGTACAACATATATTCCATGTTTAATACGAAGTATCACCACACCCCAGTATGAGTCAATGATTAAAAAAGCACAAGAGGTATAGGAGGTGATTGCAGTTGCTAATGGTAGGTCAGTCAGGAGGATAAAAATCACTTCGCTGTGGGAGGTACTGCGACTGCACATGGCTACATGTGGTTTATAACACCCTTGGGATCTTGTATCATCACTCTTCAACAGAGCAAGTTAGTTAGAGAAACGTTGCTCAAAACATCTGCCTTCTAGGAAACATGCCTACATGTTTCTCCCTCGTTCCTACCATGGACAGCATAAGCTCTTTCCATTCGATTCTCCCTTTACTGTGGGAGAAGTAAAAGCACGGAGAATTCATGAAGATTCAGGAACAGACAGGAATACATCAGAGGAATGGACAGAGAGAGCTAGGAAAATGGTAGTATTCTGCAAGAAGGGACAAAAGCACTACCAGTTACATTCTGCCTATCCTCCAGGAACAGAAAGAGAACTAAGTGTGGGAGAGCTGCTTTTATAAACAGAAGTAACAGAACCCATGACCAAGGGAAACCCCCCCCAACCCTCACACACTCTTCTGACAATAACACTCGATAACATTCAATTATCTGCTCTACAAAGGGTAGAATTCTCTGAAATAGTATTTCCTATATGAACAGTTGCCACACAACGGCATCGAGGTTGAAGTTTTCATCAATACTCACTAAATCCCAATAATATATAACTCCTGTAGAACCACAACCATTTTTAATCTTACAAAAAGTCAACCACTGTAGTAAAAAATGAGCCCCAAAGACCTTCAAAATACTTCCAAGTTCAAAGTGAAAAAAAGTATTACACATTCTGCATGGAGTTAGATACTCTCCACAGCTGAAAAATCCCTAAATACAATACCTACTTTAACAATATACACAAGAACAACTTGGAAAAACAACCCAAGACATAGTAGTAGTTTGGCCTCCACTGTTAGTGTAACAGCTTGGCAAAGGATATTTATAGTGGCCCAATTAGATTCCCAGGGCAGATAGTAACATCAAACTACCCTGTAATCCGTAACACTCACCTATTTTGTTTGACTACAGGAATGTCAGCACCGTTAGGAACAAGCTCTTTAATTTCTGTTGTACCAAAGTTTTCCACAGTGATCTATTTAAAACAAACAAAAATAGCACAAGTCTTATTTACTGTGCAGAGTACTTCTTCCCACCACTTAGCTAACAGCGACATGAATGGCAGACACAGATGCTAGAATTCAAGGGAATCGGCAGCTGATGCTTTTGCACAAACACTCCACAGGCAGTTATGGTACATGGCATGGGCTTGGTAAAGAAAACACTTGGAACACTATACAAAACTTACAGTAAAATTAAGACAAAATGCTTCTTCTATGTCATCCTCTGGATAGTCCAGTAACTGTTGCATTCCCCTGAAAAATAAGTTACAAAGTACGTGTACCATTTGGAGAGAAAGATAAACTTGTTTTCCTGAAGTATTCTTTATGCTTCCGTAATTCAAGTTTAAAAAACCAAAATGAAGTAACACTAGAAAGATTTATTAGCTCGCTGACTTGCACCTTGTGCGGTGTTGGGAATTCTCAAGCCATTGCTTGTAGTGGTATTTCCTTTTGATTATCGCCAGGTGTGAAGAGAAGATTCATACCTCACTCTTCAGCTACAGGGTTGCCAAACCAGAGGTGGCAAGTACTTAATAACCACTGATGGGCTCTTCCATTAACTGGTCTGACTTCTCCTTGAATCTATGAAAACTTCAGCATTCACAACCCTGAGACAATCAACCAGCCACCTCCGCTCGTTTGAACCTCCTACCTGCTAACCACTGATGGGCTCTTCCATTAACTGATCTGATTTCTCCTTGAATCTATGAAAGCTTCAGCATTCACAACACCAAGACAATCGACCAGCCACCTCCACTCGTTTGAACCTCCTACCTGCTAGTGCTATTCAAATCCCTACTCAATGGCAGTTATTTAGCATGTATTTGTGCCCAAAATGAGCAAAAACATTTCCTTGATAGACTAAACAACTAAAACTATGTTCACACTTAAATTAATGGCTAAAACTCAAAGGTTTTTCAATTTCAAATAGTATTTTCCTTTAAAATTCTTGTAGGACAATAAACCAGAAGAAAGATACTAAAACTAAGCCTTGAGAAGCAGGTGTCTAACAAGAGCACGTATCCTTTCTCAAGTGACAATGATGGCTGCAAGTTACTCTGAGCTGTTCATCCTGCTGATGTGAAAATAACACTTTTTCTTTATGCTCTTAAAGAAAAAGGCTGAATTAAAAATTTCCTAGTAACACTTGTTTTTCTTTCTTGCTTACCTGCCAACATCTGGCATCAACTCTTTTAAGTCCTCCAGGGATGGTTTCTTATTCAGTAACTTTTTGTACAAAGCCAAGGGGAAATGAAGGTCTACAATAGTAAAATTATATATTGCTAGCCCACAGACAACACCAATCAAATGAAACAAGTCACTGTCTTCAAAGGTCTAAGAACAGAAAACAGACAAGATGGTTTAAAATAAAAGAGTTACTTTAATCTCAGAGTCCAGAAAAGTGTACAGTGCAGAATAATGTGAGTTTCATTTACATTTTCTTTAAATATGCATGTTTCCATAAGTACTGAGGAAAACAAGATAAAGTTTTAACCAACTGAGGGAGACTGAAATCCAAGGACATAGAGCTCTTTCTACTTAAAAAAAAAGCTGAGCTACACCGTATGTTGTGTTACAAGTGATGCATACTGCTGGAACTACTGCAGGAAGGTTGTGGTGTTGTCAGTGACTTACTACATCACTACTCAGTGCCTAAATACATGTCTACTTATTTTAAGTTATTTGGAGGAGGAGGAGGGAGGAGCTCACTATTGACTTTAGGTGCTGAAAGACATGGTTCAGGGGCGGTATTATTGATGATCTTAAAGGTCTTTTCCCACCTAAAGATTCTATGATATTTGGATTCCCTGGGAGTTAATGCCAGGGCTTAAAACAGAACTGTGGAATTGTTAACATTCCTGTGCATGTGTTATAGCCACCCTAGTCAGTGTTTGCCTCTGAAAGACAACTATCTGATTTGAATGAAAAGTTCTCCTTTTTGAAAACTGAACACAGAAAGACTTGTCCAACATGCCACTTCAAGGATTTTTCTCTGCCACCTGGATTTACTGATTCTGCTCATGGAATCAGTTTACTCTGGATGGCACTTCTTCCTACCAAACTTGTCTGGAGTGGGGACAACTGGTAAGGAGGGAGGAAATGAAAAAAACAGAGGGGGAAAGTTTTGATCTAACAATGACAAAAATAAATGTTCTTTGAAAATTCGTTAGCTTCTCCTCTTGAAATATAACTACCACAAACTACAGCGTTCATACATTCTTAACATAAATATTGTAAGTTAAAAGAAAATCAATTACTAGAGATCACACCCTACCTTATCAGAGAACCAGATCAGCCTGGACTCTTCATAATACCTGAACATTCCATATTTCGGATCTAGCAACTCCCTCATGATGAGCAAAAAAAATTCTTTGCGAACACCTCCAGCATCAACAGCCTCTTCCCCTACAAAAATAACCTGAAACACACAGTCAGTTAGCACTGGATTAAAAAGTGATTGTCAAACAAGATTTGTCCAAAAACACTCTCAAGTACTTGCACGGCAGTGAAAGACACTTTGAGCAACATGTACTGATAATACCTTGAGTGGCTTCTTGTAGTCCACGTTCTTGGTTTTCCTTAGGACTTCCACAGCATCTCCTACAATATTGTCTCTCCGTACCATTAATATCAGGCATGGGTTGACCGATTCAAATACTGGCAGAAAGAGAGAAGACAAATTCTGCCTGTGAGCCTGATCAACAGCCATCTGGAAAAAAACAAAAGTGAAAGTGTCAGTAGGGAACACAAGAGCCCTGTCAACATTAAATATTCATCACTCTTGTTTTAAGTGCAGAAGCCCAGAATGGGAATAGCTACCATGAGAGCTACTGAACTTGCCCAGATTTTCTTCCTATTCCTTTTACCTCAGGAAATATTTTTCCTTTAACCATTAGCCTCATCAATGCTCTTGTGTGCAGAAGACTTAGAATACAGTTTTTGACATTCCAGTCAAAATACTTTGGATAACAAAAGGAAGCAAATATCCACTGCACTTGATCTAATGAAGAGTAAGCTGTTTTATAAAAACCTGGCACAAAAACATCCATTAAGAACTAATTCACAGAGGGAAAAGCAATTTGTTCCTCTATTTTATTTGTATTATAGTTTTTGTGTGACAATTGTTCAAAACCAAAATACTGCTGCAAATGTTACTAATATGGAGCAGAACTCTTGAAAGTTTGCGTGGTTTAATACTACTTAATATTGCTAGCAGAAACATTCAACATGAACATTTCCCCAAGTTCAAACATTTGTATTGACTCTGCACAGACATTTTAAAAGGCCTAACAAAGTATGTTTATTACTAACTACGGAAGAAAACTGGTATTTCTCTACAATCCCATTACTTGAGCATGACTTCTCTCTTCCGTTTAATTTCAGACTCAGAACAACAGCTTTTATTATGTTAAACATTAGAAACATGGGGAGGGGGGCTGGTGCTCTTACTGCTGTTACTTTTGCAGTAGCCCCCATTCTTCCCTTCTTTAAGAATGAGATTTATTATACCCTTACCGCAACTGAACAGGTATGCATTTTATGTACAAAAAGAACTGAAACCAGTGTGAATTTATCTAGAGAATCATGAAAACACTCAAGATCCTCTCAGCTACTTTAGGGTTGTCTAGTGTATCTCCAGACAAGAGATAGGGGTCAAGATACACAAGTGTTTGTATCAAGTACTTAATTTCTAGGAAAGTGTCTAGTTAAACCAGAAGGGAACAAATTAGGAGTAGCAGATAATTGCATATAACAGGAAAAAAGCCAAAAAACTACTGCAGACTGTAAGCTCAGGAAACCTACTCCCACTATCCCTAGCAGGTGCTAGATTGTCAAGACAAGCTTCTTTTCTACTGCCTTGCAGACACTGACCAGACCTCGGAGTCTAGCAGCATTTTGAAGGAGGTGTGACAGATGGGATGAGAAATTAGGCGTGCACTAGATATTCACATGGTGGCGAGATGTTTGCCTCTCTGATACCACCAATCTTAAGAACAACACTACCTCCTAAGATCCATCAAGGTACGAAATTAAAAGTAACTGTCACCGACTACTACTTCTAACAAGACAGATGATATCACTTCAAGTGTGCTCCTATGCAAGCGAGGGTTGTTTTTTTGGAGAGGGTTGGTGATTAGATTTGTGGTTTGGCTTGGGGTTCTTATCTCAAAAAAGTCATCTCGTTCACAGAAAGAAAATAAGTTCCCTAGAAATGTACGCAATTATTAAACAACCTAATTACAATGAGACCACAAATGCACAAAGCCACTAGATTCTATCATGTACATACCCTGAGATTAAAACTAGATCACTGAATCTTATGGAGGTTACACAGAGTAAAGATGCACAACATTAAAAACTGAGACTCTTACCTGCATCTGTATGACTGCATCTGTTTGTAGGAGAGTTGTCTTTGCCTGGGCATCAAATACAAAGGGGTATGTGCAAATTGTAACAGGAATATCTGTTATCTAGAATGGAAAGAACCACGTCATATGTCTGCTTATTTGAAAAATGCAGTCATGGTTATAGAAGCCACTGCAATAGCACTTATTTAATACATCTATTTCATTGGAAAAAGAAAGACATCTTTACTCATTGTCAATGCAGGACCAAAGCATCTTAGGAAAACTAAGTAGATTTTCAATTGTTTAGTAACTTCAGGAAGAAAAACAAACAAACAAAAAAAATCAAACAAGCCAACCCCAAACCAACCAAAACACACAAAAACCACACTCACTCAGTACATTTTGATTTCAGAACTTTTATTACAGCTAGTGGATAACATCAAAGCAGTCTTTCTCAAATGCTGCTCTGAATTTGCAATACAAGAATTATGTGCTTTTGCCCCACAGAAGCCTTTTCAGATTACAGCCATGCTAACTTAAAGCTTTACTCCCAACAGAACACATCAGACAACCCTTGATATTCATATTTCTGATTTCCTTACATTCTGCAAAAGAAATCAGATTGCAACCCATCTTACCTCAGTTAATCCATGGTTGACATCCTATGACAGCATTTGCACAAAGGTAGCAATAATTAAGATGAAAAAGCAGCATTAGTGTCTGCATTAAATATTCATCTCTAATGCAGAATTAAAAATACTTATCTACAGCTTCTCCCCTAAAGGGATGTTTACTGAAAAATTAATATCAACCATAAACATTCTAATAGCACCATACCTTTCAACACCCTATACATCAGCCTTTAAAAAAAGGACTATTAAAGTAACGTTTTCTCCAGTGCAAAAAAATTAAATGTTTTAAATGTTTACTTTCATACAATAATGACATCTGCTCTTACCTATGTATTTTCATTCTCAAATTACTGTAGCATGTCAAATTAAATGCAAAACATTTTTAATGAGTAAGAATTGAAAAATACAAAGGAACTCCATCGCTTTACATACAATATCATAGACCCAAATGATTCTTGAGAAGATACGACATGAGAAAAGCAGTTGACTCTTGAAATTTGAGACAGACCAATACATATGGCTGGGGCTGTGCGGAGAGTTGCCCAACAAGCTAGATTAACTTTGCTAAGAAACTAAGTTATCCATCTGGTGCTGTGTTACACTCCTTACCCTCTGCTGAAAGCTAAATTTATTTCCACCTAGCAGGCAGAAAACAAAAAAACAATAAAAAGTAATGACACGCTAATGAATTTTAAATTTGAATATATATATATTTGAATATATATAGATAGATGTAGGATGTCCATGGCTCACAGAAAGCCATGGTCAGAATACTTTGCTTTCTATCTGTATCCCTAATTCCTACAGGAAACATCAGATTTACCTCTCCCATTTGTCACAGGTAGTTTTATGTAATTTTTTATTGCTGCTCTATCTACAATTATTTATTCCTAATTCAAATGGTTTTCCTCAGCTCATTTAAGCCATGTCTCAGGAACACCTCTTCAAATCAACAGTTTGTTATTTAGTACATTCAGTTTTTCTACCACTCATTTTGTTGTTGTTAGAACATTTTTTCTTCCAAGTTTCTTTCTAAGAATACCCTGAATACTTCTGAGATTCAACTTTCTTCTGTATTTTCCCCTGCATGTTTTAATCAAGGAACTGAGCAAACAGTTCTACCCTAAGATATAACAATAAAAGTTATACTAGCAACAGAAATTTTGATTTATCATTATGGATTCAATAGGCAAGTAGGGTTTTTTCTTTTAAAAGCAAGAGCACTGGCAACCAGTGCATATGACGGCAGGAAAAGGCCATCAAAATAATTTACAAAGGAGATCTGACTAAGGCCATGGAGTTTCTTTCAGTCCTGTAATAAATCAAAATAACTTTTTCTGCTGAACTTGAAAACTGCACAGATGCATGACAAAATAATGATGATTAAAGGGAAACCCACTATCTAGTATTTTCTCAGTAATGTCAAGCTACTGCTCAATCTTACAATTTAATTAACAAATGGAGCTTAAGACTTTCATTACAAAGCCTTTTTCCAGTTCATTTTTCCATATTTAGTTTTGTTTTCTCTGATCATGACATAGGCAATCTGGGTTTGTTTACATCCATTTAAAGCAGTTGCAACGGTCATAATCTTCTAAATTCCACCTCTTCTGTACCCCTCACAGGCATACCCCTCTCTGTTTCAAACATACAGACCTGTCTCTAATTCCAAGGCCGTGCAATGCTTATCCCTACCTTCTACACCTCATTTAGCATGCCGCCCCACTCAGCTACCAGCACCAGCCTACATCACACCCCGGTTATCTTTTCAGACAAGCTTGGCTGAAACGACGTCTGTCACGACTGCGAAGACTGACTCATCATTTCTCTACGCCACCCCATCTCACTACTGTTGTTCTGCATCGCAAATTTAATTCTTTAGTAGACAGCATTGCTTGTTCTGTGTTCATAAAACACAGCAACAGTAGGGTTCGGGACCTTCCAGACACTGCTGCAGAAAAACACAGTCTAGGTGGCTAGAGAAAGCATATTCCTTTACTCAATATTCTTTCAAGGCATAAGTCAAAGAACTGCGTGGCAAAACCTGATCCAGCTCACTAATTCTCTGCACAGCCATGAATTTACTCCCACTTACCACTCTTCTGTTTACAGACCCATGAATTAATTACCTCAGTTCTTGTAGCTACACTCAAAGCAGAAAATTATCTTAATTATCTCTCCCCTGCAACTCCCTATTATGCTTCTAGGTGTAGTTTTCTGAAACAGTTCTAGCTTTATTTTCTGCACCTATCTTACATAGCAATTCAGGTTGTTTTCCTACACTAAATTATCATTTTCCTAACTTTTTTGGCATGGCAAGTCTCAAGTGACCACATTCTAAATCACTTTACAATTGATGGACTAGAATGTTGAACAGTGCCAGCCCTAAGAATACCTCCACACCCTACAAGAAGCACACCTATTTAACAATCCTACCTTAATTAATACCTAACATGAGCCTGTTCAGTGATCTGTGAGGGTATTTTTATGAAACAAAAGTGCCCATATTTAGAGAATCTACAGGCTTCTCTAAAGGGACAAAACCAAAACAAAATTAGGGGGAGGGGAGGAGTGTGGAACCCACAGAAATCAAATTAAATCCAACACAACTTACCATTCCAAATACCTGCTGCTGGACCCAGTTGACATAGTCATTTCTGATATCTATCAAATCTTGTATCTCATGAATGTAAAACTTGTCATACTGTATAACTTGTCCTCTTTCATTTACCTGAAGTGCAATTTATTTTTTATTAGCACTTTGTATAACAGTTTTCAAATGGCTATTTTCCATAATGTTCAAGCATTTGATACATCAGCCACAGATACCCAGCTACTAAAAAAAAGTCTAGAAAAACAACAGTGCCCACAAGAAGGTAAAAAAATCAACGTTAAAGATATGGACACATGGATTATTCACAATCCCACAAGATTAACTGAGCATGTATTATCACACAACACAGTGCTGCCACTTTGAAACATCGTATGATCTCAGAGGGACAATGACAAATATCCATGTTCATGTATGTAATGGAACAAATACTTGTTTCTGTACACTTGTATTCCCGGAATATCCAATCTAAACCGTGTCTGGTGCAACTTTAGGCTGCTTCCTCTTATCCTATCACTTTTTACTGAGAGAAGAGACCAACCCCTACCCCTCTGCATCCTCACTCTCCTGGCTGTAGACAGCGATAAGGTCTCCCTCAGCCTCCTCTTCTCCAGGCTGAACACGCCCAGATCCCTCAGCCGCTCCTCACAGGACTTGTGCTCCAGACCCTTCCCTGGACACACTCCAGCCCCTCAGTGTCTTTCTTGCAGCGAGGGGCCCAAAACAGAACACAGGATTTGAAATGTGGCCTCACCAGTACTCAGTGCAGGGGGACCATAGAATCACAGACTGATTTGGGTTGGAAGGGACCTTAAAGCTCATCTAGTTCCAACCCCCCTGCCATGGGCAGGGACACCTTGCACTAGACCAGGTTGCTCCAAGCCTCATCCAGCCTGGCCTTGTTGGCCACACTGTTCCCGATGCTGGCCAGGATGCCCTCAGCCTTCTTGGCCACACTGCTGACTCACTCAGCTGCTGTCAATCAACACCCTCGGGTCCTTTTCCGACCGGCAGCCTTCCAGCCCCTCGTCCCCAGGCCTGTAGTGCTGCCTGGCGTTGTTGTCGCCCAAGGACAGGACCTGGCATTTGGCCTTGTTGAACCTCACACAGTGGCCTCGGCCCACTGATCCAGCCTGTCCTGATCCCTCTGCAGAGCTGTCCTGCCCTCCAGGGCAAGGTATCATTTCAAGCCTAAGAGTCAATTATTTCCAACTCACAGATGCAATTGACTGGGCCAGCCTTTGTTCCCAAGAAAATAGGGAATTCCACCACCATGTCAGATTGGAACCCAAAATTCCAATGGTTCATAGGTCCAGATGGAACAACTAAAGATAACTCTGTAGATGTTAAGTCTAAGTATTTAAAACTCTCAAGTAACATCTTCTTTTAACAACTACACAGCACACTGACACTGACAAAAACAAACAGGTAAGTGATTGGTTAAAATTGGCGTAAACATACTCTATGAAGTATTTCCAGAACTCTGAAAGCCGTGTGTAGAAAATTGGTAAGTATTCTTCTTTCAGAAGCCGGAACACCCATCTTACACAGCTTCAAAAGGTGGACTACGACATCCTTGTAGAGTTCTACTATCTTGAGGAACAAGGGAGGTTCAAGTACAGACCACCAGTTTTCTGCCAACAAAGAGTGAACGCACAAACTTAGCACTTGCCACTACAATATTATTTTATGCTATCCTTTCAACTAAAAAACCCCATGGTTTTCTAGAGAGCATACTTCTCCATTACCAAAGGCTCTCAAAAAAACCCCAAACAAACCAACACGAACACAGCAAGAGTGGTGCAGACTTTTAAACAGCAAAATAGACTCTGTATAAATACATAATGAAACCTCTATTCAAACGCTCTATTGTTACACACCAACTCCTTAATAAAATCTGTTCATCCAGAGAACATGACAGCATCACAATGTAACATCTGACATAAAACCAGATGGCTCAAACCCTGAAACCCTGATTTAAGCAAACAGTCCTGAGAGCAATGGCAAAGAACAGGATCTACAGTTCAAAGAAATTATCAGTTTGTTTTTCTCTACAGCAGACAAAGCTCTTCACTCTCACCAAAACTACAGAAAACACAGACATAGGTTATAAGGAAAAAAAAAAAAGACTAAGAAGAAAGCACCCTCTCAAAAAGATATCAATTAAAAAGGAAATAATCTAAAATCTCAATTCTTTAAGCTGAATTTCAGGTGACAGGAGTCACAATAAGAAGGTATAAGTCAGTAGAGCTAAAAAAGCCAGAGCTATTCTCAGCAGCATATTTGAAGACCACATCTTAGGATCAGTGAGTAAAGATGAACTGCTCAGAAGCAACAAGACAGGTGTTGTAGTCAAAACAAAGATAATGTCACATCTGCTCTGCAACACTTGTTTAAATTGCTTAGAGCTTGTCAGCTGTCTGACCACGTAATTTTCACTTTAAAGTGCGAAGACACCTATCAAATACACTGAGCTACAGGGTGTAATTCCTCCCAAACGGAGTCAGTCCAAAAATTACAATACCAGGTGAATTCATAAGGACAGCCAGTTAACTCAACCCGAGGAAACAGAGTAGGTGTTTTCTTGCACATCAAGCCATGTTAACCCTTAACTTCCCCACCGAGGAAGTCTACAGAACAGTAAATACACAGCAGGTGCTGAGGTCATGTCTACACTGATGGAATTTCTATATATTCATCTGGAGATCCTTAGTTTTAACAGTAAAGAATTCAATTTCTTACCAAGAACTTTCAGAGGAGCTTTTTCTAGATTCAGAATAGCTGTTCCAAAAGGAATAGCTAACGTTGTGAAATTGTTTGCATCGCTCATCAGTGGGCATTCTGGTAGAGTGAGATAGAGCCTCAAAGCTTCAACATCTGGTAAGGAGCTGGTCAATTTGGGAATAAGGTACTTTTCCAAACTAGCTGCCACCTACAGTACATCATAAAACTCTGTTTATTTTAATGCAACTGTGAATTTAAACAAATACCCACCTAGATGAAAAATAATCTAGGAAACAATCACAAAGAGTTTGAATTAGACTGTTTTACATTCATTAACAAGACTGTATATTAAATATTAGAGCACAATATGCTGACGTACTACCTAACTGTCACAACACAATAGAGTTTTACATGTTTTCATTTGATATATTATTGAGTAAAGCAAGCTAATAATAGTATTTCTGCATAGCTGTAACGCAGAAAGATAATCATAAACATCAGGAAAACATGCAGCACAAACCTGTTGTGATATATGAGTGTGGTCAGGCTGTATAAGTTTGTGAAATAGTAGTCTAGCAGCATTCATATCAACCCCTGAGAATCTAGTGCTGGTTTTGTAATGATCATCATTGCTGCAGAAAGAAAACAAACCAAACATACAGAGAGAAAGACTGAATCCTGTATTCTCAGCAACTCAAGCAGGGGATGTGCTGCATTTGGGCCAGCTGGTAAACCATATGGCAGTGAAGTAGTCAGAAGTTTAAAGTGTGGGTATCATAGTAACAGGAAGATAGGGAAATACTAGGAAGGTGTTACAGTCAAAACAAGAGACACTAGGAAGGTAGCACCCATTAATTCTGTTCACAGGAATACCTGTTTAAAAGTCTGACCACTTACCTCAAAGCCAAAAAGCTCCCATTCAGGCACCCCGCTGAGGAGAACGTTCCATCAATTTCACTGAAATTGTTCACATGAAGTTACATTCATTTTGTTTTCTTCTTACAAATTAGCATTTACAATAAACAACTGTATTTAACCCCTACAGAATTACACTGTACACAGGATGGAACTCTGCCTTTAATATGACTAAACGACACTAGCTAGAACCTCCATTCAAGATCCAATGCTTTAGGCAGCTCAAATCTTGCAATCTGCTCTTAATTTCTTTACATCCACCTTTATTAAAGTAGAAGCAATAATCTTTGAGTTGTTCTCAGAATCCTTTACACATACTGTTATTTTTCAACATGCAGCTAGATACCTAATTTAATACTCTGTAGTAATCTGAACTGTGTCAGAGATGACAGACTAAGGGATCTAAACTGCCTGACAAGCATGACAATGAAAGCACACCAAAAGCTCTGCATGTAATAAAATCAGTATTTAAAAACCAGCTTTGCTATGTATGTACACAGCCCCATTAAAGCCTTATTCATAAGTGAAATTATGAAAGACAGCTTCTTCCTTCAATATCACTTACTTGGCTACCTCTACAGGAAGTCTTCCAGCTGGGAAAGTCAGCAATCTTTGAATAAATGTTTCATTCACAGTCCAGATCTGCTTCAAGAAGTCAGGATACCTAAAATCATCTGGCGGCACCATGCTCTAAATTTTAAAGAAAGCATAAGAAATCAGGCCCTTAAAACTGATTTCCAGAAAAATCAATCCTGTGGTTGAGCTCTTGATCTCTTCAATGCCTGACAATTTGCCTACCCAGACTACTGCTGGGAAAAAAGCCCAAGGATAAATTTACTGTACTCTAACAGCTCTGCACTCGCTATGAAAGCAGTGTACGCTAAAAACTACTAGATGAGCGTGTTAATTCCACACGTGTTAACAGCACAGCTTACTTAAGGGTAAACTCCCTAAACATACAGTGCTTTTCTTTATGATGAACACTACACAAGCCTTAGACAAGAGTAGCACGAATCTCCCTAGTCACTCAGAGACATTTAGCTCACTGCCAAGCTGTGAGCATGCAGAAAAGCAGGCATTCAATTTTTTGGACAGCTGCTCTCCCACCCCACTTCCATCAGACTCCTCTGAGAATGAGTCATGTTTCTCTGAACATTTACTGCATCATCAGGGAGCTGCACTTTGATGTGCTGCTCATACCAAATGAACCCCAGTACCATTTCTAATCGTAAACAGGAGCAGAACCAAGACCACCATTTGGAGTGGGAGCATTGGTTCAAAAAGAGAGGGCCAACAGCACCAAATAAAGGTTAAACTAGTAAAAGGAAACTTATTTCTCCTGAGGGTGCAGTCTGAACACATAGCCGACTGAGTATAATGATGGCTGGCTGTTTCCAAAAAATCAGTATTTTTGATGCCATCCTACAGGATGAGGATGAGAAACCCTCCTGCCACTTCCCTTGTGTCCAGCCAAAGCGTCATTTAAACCCACAATGAAACCAGTCAAGGAACTGAGCTGCCCAAAAACGCATTTGAGAAAACCGATTTCGGCTGAGAATCCTTAAGCGGCAAGGGCACGCAAGCCAGACACGCAGGAGTACAGTGCTCACGTAACTCCGAAAGAATTCAATACAATTACCAAACCAAAGGGTACTGAAGAGGAACTTTTTACAGCAAAGTTCATCTATTGCTCATACTTTTTGTACAGAACAAGCCACAAAAATCACAGTCATCAGTCTCCAGTTCACCTGAGTTAGAATCTACTTCAACAACTATAAAAACCCCGCAGAAGAAACTTTAAGCAAGGAGTTTTAATAGAGAACTTTTGAGACTGCATTACCAGTAACTTTTCCAGTCTACGCCTGCTAAACAAGCTTCTCTGAAATACAGCAACAGCTACCACAACCCAATCAGAATTCAGAAAAACACCACCTAGAAAAACTGTTGATTCTGTACAACCAGAACAGGCTGTCGGAGCAAAGGCCTGACAATAAACATGTTTCCCACATATGTCAGTTTTCCTTCGGGTCCAAATGAGTGTTCATCCCACATACTCAACTCTTGATGCCCCATTAATCCCTGTGGTCTAGTATGTGCTGGGCTATATTGTGAACAGCCCCATCTAATTGCATCTTGTGTCCTCCTCTTAACTTGCCCTCTTACAGCATTTCCCACATACTCCCACATATTTAAACAGATCAATTCTTGTCCTTTTAAAACTTAAGTTTAACAAAACCCTCAAAGCTGCAGTCAGGAGTTACTGAGGAGAACTGGACAGGGGTGAAGAGCTCAAATATTCAAGCACCTTTTCCTTTATGAAAGGAAAAGTGCATGCACCCATCACCGAGGGGAAAAAAACCTTAGACCAAAAAGCCTCCAGAGCTTACTGACAGCTAACACACAATAACGGGATGCAAGTCCTCCCATTGCTAAATTGGCTTAGTGTCTTGTGTTCTGTACTGCTCTAATGAAGTTTACAATTTAGGCACCTTCAACATGCAGATCTTCTAAAACTCATCAGAAAAAAAAAATTAACTTTGATAGACCTTGGAACCAAAGTATATTTAATTTGTTACCTGTGGATAAAAGTAGTGTGCAAAACTTTGGTCCCCGCCAGAGAAAATTCTCTTTACACAGTAACACTCCTCGCTGTCTGCAATAGGAATAAACAACAGGCAAGCGTGAAAACGTGAACTTGAGAAAGCATTAAGACACTGCAACCAACACTCCGTGAGAAAAGGCACCTTCATTACGTAACCTCGCTGGAGCAGAACTTTGCAATACAGTGGCTAAGAGTATCTTTAACCGAGGTCAGTGCCAACAGCTCTAAATTTCAGTGCTAACAAAGGGCCTAAGCCAAGAGCACAAGTAAGCATGTACCAGAAATGGACTTCAGGGAACAGAGCACACTGAAAATGAACTGTATAGAAGAAAGTGATCATAGCCCATATTTAGTGTAAACTGCAAGATTTGTAAGACACTATAAAAGAACAAGAATCCAAGTAAATACGCCAGATGCTGCTTACCTGAGGTTATCGGGCACTGAGTACTATAAGGAAGCCAGTTTCCTTTCACTGTGAAGGGACTTTTCCTGTTACTCGTTGTTCCTGTACCTAATTGCCCGTTACCTCCGAGTCCAAAAGAATAAATTCTTCCAGATGAAGGAACAAATGCAGTAGTGTGCTGCCTAGGGCAAACAAAATTCAGTAACAAAAACTTAAGCATTACAATACGCTTTGTCCGGGTCAGCCTAAGAACTGTGTTAAACAGTGTGTTAAAGGCTCTGTAGGATCAAACACTCCCCTGCCCCAGCAACACTCCATTTATACTCCAGTAGGCAATATTCCATTTTCATGGGCAAGCTCACAGAATGGAGATGCCAGGTTCTGCCTTGAACCCTGCTTAGCCACAGTCTGACCCCGGGAGCCTACTTCTAGACATTCAGAACTTTGAAGGTTCCAACAAATTGGCTGCATCTCCTTTCCCCTCCCATACCTCTCACCTCCAGATATCCTTTCTCTTGTCATGAGTCTGGGAAGAACTAGTGTTGAATTTATGTAAACTAGTAACAGGGAGTGGGTCTACTCAATGTTGACCAAACTGCTACAAAGATAGGTTTGCATTTCCATATCCTTTAACCCAAATAACAGTGTGCCCATCTCAGAAAAATTACATTGCCTCCATCATTTTGTCTTCTTCACATGCAAATCTTTGGACAAGAGCATTTTCACGTGTGCTGGGACTTTTTCCAATTTCTTGGGTGCTATTATAATACGCACAATAAAAGCCCATTAGGAACCAACGTGTCGGACAGTACCACAGGCATTTCACAAAACAAGTTGTGTTCCCAATATCCTCAGTGATGCTCAGGCACCTCCCCAGACACACTTGCTCTTTAACAGGAGATGACAAAGTGACAGCAATAAAGGACACCTTCACACCGATTAGTCACACTTTCAGTCTGGAAGCTCAGAGCCTCTCAAATAGTGTAAATTCCTTTAGATCTTCTTGTGAATGTTTTTAAAACTCCCAGTAAGGTCTCTAAATATCTTTTGTTAGAGACCATCTTGTCTTCCCTAACCTCAAAGAGTAAGGAAAAACCCCTTCATATTGCAATGTATGTGAAGTTTTACACAAAACAAGCTGTTTGCAAGATTCATAGTGCTAGCACTGACGAGACCTTACCTGCCACACGTGATCTGCGTGACAACACTTCCCATAAGTTCAAAAACTTTCCTTGGGTTTATCTCATGGCTGGTGGAGTTATGACCCAACTGACCATAGCCTCCAGCTCCAAATGTAAAAACCCCACCTTCCTAAACAAATAAATTACTTGCGTTAAAATGACAATAAATCTCAGAACGAGAAACTTCACAGAAAGAGGGGTTTAATAAATGTCCTTGTCTGATGATTTTGGAACTGTGGGGAAACAAGACAAAAACATACATGCACAAGACGACCCTCAGAAGGGCCACAAGTTAATTGCAGTTATGAAGATGTGGCACAGCTATCAAGTACTACCTTATTTGTGTTAAATCGCCTCTTGTAATTTCCATATTATTATACAACAGTCCTGCCATTAACCTGTGTCATTGAAAGATACTAATCCTCGTTCTCCCTCTTGTCCAGTTTTCTTGATGAACCACAACAGTATATACTATTACAAAGGTACACACCTTCAGCTTTTAAATTCTGAACGTAAGTTGAAAAGCCATTACCAAACAGGAAGCTCTCCCTCCTCAGGCAGATGATGCAGAGTATGATTGAAATAGTCAGCTTCATTGTTCAAAAGGGTAAGAAACCAGAAAATTTCAACACTGTCGTAAGGCAAGTAATTTTTAAGTGTTTCTGATTAATTTAATCAAGAAATTAACCAAAAACTTCCATGAAAGAATGTCGAATCAGAAATATTTTCAGGAGTTACACAACTTACAACAACTTTGAAACTTCCCGTTTTCAAACTCTTTGAAACTGTAAAGCTGGTTTTTTTCAATTCTACTCTGCATTAGACTGGACCTCTGCTGGAAACCACTTAAAATGGCAGCGTCGGCTGAGAAAAACCAACAGCCTGATTCACTGAATCGGGGTAACAAACAGTGACAGGTTTTCTGATTTTCAGAAGGACGTGAAGCATGCTGGCACACTCACACAGTACTGCCTACGAAAGAGAGAAATCAAGACCCCTCACTCTGCAAGGCGGGTCGTGCAAGGGAAAATGCAGCTATCCAAATGGGTGACAAACAATTTCTAGGAACAATGACAGTAAATTCAGTATCTGGTTCGAGTCCATTCAGCTTGTAAGCAAGTCTGCAGTTAACTTCTATACCGTAAAAAGGGAAAAACACTTGGAATGCCAGTTACAGATTGGTGGTTTCTTTACACTCTATTTCCCTAACCTCGCACAGTAAGTCAATATCAGGATGACAAAGTTGCCACATATTTTTCAGTCAAAGCAAAAGATGATTTTGGGACAAATATGAAGTACTTGTGAACAGTGTTTCCCTTTCACTGTAGAAACGTAAGTGTGTATAAACAACAAAAGTATGACGACATTCAAAACAACTTTTCACCCAAGTGTAAAAATTCAAATTAACACATAAAAATTCCCACACACATTTTCCAAAGGTAAGAAAACACAGATTTTTCTTCTTCAGAAATAAGCCATTTAAAATAGTTTACTTCCAAAACTCTAATGCCTTCTAGAACCACATTCTAAATTCAACAGATTCAGATATGAACTGGATAATCTGTCACTTGCCCAAATCCTGACTGGCCAGAATTGTTTCTACTGCTATCAGCAGTAAGCTCAAAATAGTCTGTTTATAAACTGATACATTTTCTTGAGAGTGATGAACAACAGGAAACATCAGAATGTTAATACATACTGATCCATACCTAAATGTTGAAGTCTAATCCAACTATCGAAATACAGAAAAGTACAGGAGTCAATCATTTTAAGTGAGACACGCACGTATCATTTTTCCCACCACAAAATAAAGGTATTTGTCATCAACTGATGCTTGAAATACTCTATTCCAAATAACCCTATCACTAAAACGAACATAAGAAAAAACACCAGCATTATACAGTCTATGTTGCTCCTGAAAGTTTCCAAGTAACTTTAAAAATAAGACTCCAAATAATGTATTCAGCCAACAGGTGCATATAAAGCCATCTGACACACTTCAGCTGTTTTAATCAATGTCTACATCTCTGTACAAATGTCCTGCACTGATGCTAAATACATGCTTTTTTTCCCAAATCAACCTTGAAATCGATGACCAACCTTCCATAGAACCTCACACTATAATAGTTACTAATGGGTTACGTAAATCTTCACTTTCTTCTACTGGTTTGCCAACAGTATGCCAACTAGCTGCTGCACAACAGCAGCCAGGAGAGCAGAGCAAGAATGTGCAAGAGGAACAGCCCTGCAGCCACTCAGCTCAGTGGAGAAGGAGAGGCAGGAGGTGCTCCAAGTGCCAGAACAAAGATTCCTCAGCAGCCCGCAGTGCAGCCATCTGTGCCCTGCAGTCATGGAGGGTCACGGGGGAGCAAAGACCCCCCCTGCACCCCAGAGAGGACCCCACACTGGAGCAGGGGGATGCTGGAAGGAGGCTGTGACCCCGTGGGCAGCCCACGCTGGAGCAGGCTCCTGGCAGGAGCTGTGGCCCTGTGGAGAGAGGATCCCAGGCTGAAGCAGGTTTGCTGGCAGGATTGGTGACCCCAGGGGGGTCCAGGCTGGGGCAGGCTGCTCCTGAAAGGCTGCACCCCATGGTGGGGGACCTGTGCTGAAGAAGAACTGCAGCCATAGGAAGGACTCACGTTGGAGAAGTTGGTGGAGGACTGATTCCAGTGGGAGGGACCCCAGGCTGGAGCAGGGGCAGCATGTGAGGATCCTTCCCTGAGGAGGAAGGAGTGGCAGAGACAACCTGTGCTGGGCTGACCCCAACCCCCATTCCCCATCCCCTGTGCTGCTGGGAAAGGGGAGATGGAAAAATGGAGAGCAGAACTGAGGCTGGGAAGAAGGGAGGAGTTTTGAGATTGAGTTTCATTCCTCATTACCCTACTCTGGCTTTTGGTTGGCAGTAAATTAATTTCCCCAAGTCAAGCCCGTTTTGCCCGCGGCAGTAATCGGTGAGTGATCTCTCCCTGTCCTTATCTCGACCCAGGAGCCTTTCATCATATTCTCTCTCCCCTGCCCAGCTGAGGAGAGCAGTGACAGAGCAGCTTTGGTGGGCACCCGGCATCCAGCCTGGGCCAACCCACCACAACAGCAAGTAACTGTTCACAAAGTAAAACAACCACACACCCCAATGCCCCCAGCATTTCATTTACAGTCAAAATTAACGTGGTCTGATGAGTGATAGCAGCAATGCTAGAGGCACTGCAGCCAGAGAACAGCTCATCTCCTTAGGATACATTAATGTAAACTTCAGTATCTGCATCATTTTAATAATACAACATGCAGTCATATAAAAGATACTCTATTATGGTGAAATTGAGCATACAAATCTGACAAGAATTTAGAACTACTGCAAGATTACTTATACTTGTTACGTGTTTTCAAATATTTAACCCTCCTTCCAATACACTTTGAAGAAATTTTATGCAGAGTTGTTTATTATCCTATTCAGGCAGCATCTTCTCCTAAAAACATTACAAAAAACAAGGCATAAACATCTCTTTAAATATTGTACCTTTGTAAGGGCAGCAGTGTGATCTTCTCCACAACATATGTGAACAACCTTCTGAGTTCTCAGTGACTTCAGCAGCGTAGGAACATACCTGTCTGAAAGGTGCAATACAGCAGTTGACAGCTTATTTTGAAAAGAGAAATCAGAAAACAGTTTTTTCTCATTTATTCTAATTCAGTTCCAGTCAAACAAGTACTTTAAATTTGTTAGCATAATGCACTCATTGTGTCTGAGCTTATATATCTTTGAGAGGGAAGTGTTACTCCAGAAAAAAGAGTACAGTAGTAAGACACTGTGTATTGAAGTCTCATTTTCACTAGCATAGGGTCATAAGTACATACAAATATGGAACAGAATGTTACACCTCCCATTGCCCATGAGAAAAGAAAACAAGTGACAGCTGGTTTTGAGCTGTTAACGTGCTCCATGTTTCTAAAGTGTTCCTGTAAGCTGTATCAGTTGGTCATAGCTCGGTATCACTACATGTGTAATAGAATGGAACAGAGCATTATTACGACGCACAACTAAGTTCCCTCCATCACTAGAACAGACCAACTCTGTCCTCCAGTCACACAAAGGCAATCTTTTTAAATGTTAATGCTATTTTGTGTTAAAGTCTTATTGTGCTATCAAGACACAGAAAAGGAATTTTACTGAGAAGTGATGTCATATAAAAAACCTGGGGTCATTTATATTCCAAAGAATATGTAGAAGCAACTGAAGTCTCCCATGAATTTCTGGTAATTATGTGTAATTTTCTTATTACATGAGTGCAACCAGATTTAACGCGTTAAATTCAGATATGCATTGTAACTACAACACTTTTTTACTTTAAATGGTGTCGAGAACAATGAAGCAGTGAGAAAATTTGAATTCATGAAACTAGCTATAGACTATTCTACCCTAAAATGTGTGTTACAGGAACCTGATGGCATATATCCCCATCTGGGAACCTTGTGCGCGTATAGTGCACATGTAATGTAATACAAGTAGCGAAGGAACAATTTTTGGTCTAATCTAACCACTCTAACCATTAATTAAAACCATTAATACATATTAACGCCATAGTAAACTTTGGAATTGGCCAGCTGAAAATTGTGAATGACTATCAAAAATAGCTCGAGACAGGCAGATACCCACGTGGCAGTAAAACAATGAAGATGCCTTAAATATGTCTTCTAAGGACAATCCAATAGTTTTCATACATTACTGGTTTTGTCAGGCAATTTCATCTACCTAAAATGCAGTTCAAACTGTAACTACCGCACAGTATCTTAAATTTAATCCCATTCAGAATAAGTCACAGAAGCAGCTAGAACAGGGAAAGAAACCAAGTCAGGCAGGGTAGAATTTCAGCATAACGCAGTCCGAATTTTCACTACAAAACAGCTGAGGAAAAAAACCCTCTACGTGTTCCTTATGCAACCTCACGGGACAGCAGCGCTCTCCGACAACATTCAACACCGGTTTGTCCTGCCTGCTCCTTTTCGAGGAACGCTGCTGCCTTCAGATTCACGAACCAAAAACCTCCCGCATGAATTTCTACTGAAGTGATGCTCACTTACCATTGTCATCATTAAGACCCAGCTGCCCAAATTTGTTGCGGCCCCATCCAAAAATGGCTCCAGAAAGAGTTAGTACAAAACTATGAGCTCCTCCTGCTGCAATCTGTGCAAAAGGGATTCCCAGCAGAGATTTAATCACATGGGGTGAGTTTTGTTTTTTGTACTCGTAACCTAAGCCCAGCTGGCCGTATTTGTTTTGTCCCCAGGAAAACACTTCACTTCCTGTTTAAAGGGAAAAAACACCACACTAAGAAATACAATCAATATAGTTTAATTATACAGTTTATTTACTGTAAATAAATGCTAGAAGACAGTTACTTTTCCAATATTTTTGAGTTTGAAAATGCATGCATATTAACGACTTCTTATGCTAAGCATTCTCGTGCAGTATAATTCAACTCAAATACTTAAATCAGACTGAAAATATTTACATCTCATTCAAAACTGCTTTTAACATCCCTGTTTCAACAGCACTAGATGAGTTTGGTCATTATAAAGCAAGATGCTGTTGCACTGGGAGTTCCACAACGGCATATGTTTTTATGCAGACACCTTGTTGAAGCTGCATATTCAACATGCAAAATTTTCCAATTTCCTCGTTTAAGCTTTTATATGGCAACATCCTCAATTTTCATACAATTTAAGTAAATTTTAAGTTTTAAAATATTGTATTAATGACATGATGAACAAAGCACAAATTTTATAGTGACATCTGATGCCTTATAAAGAAAACCACATTTTAAAGAATCACCAATCAGAGCTATTTATGTTAACCCTGACGCCAAACTACAGTGCTCTGCTGAACAACCAACATTTTGCCAAGGTATTTGCTATCCTAAAGATCAACACCTAATCACAGAGCTAATTTGCTTTTGAGGATGCGACATGTTTCAAACAGTAACGTTACTTTTTTCCTGTGGCTCTCCTACCTCTATCTTTCCAGCAACAGTTTTACCAAGATGGAAAATAATGAAACCCATCCCCTGGGGTACATGTTTCTCAGGTTTTATTTATTTATTTAAATGACAATCACCACCATCCAAAACAGACCAAAACCCAACCAGACAAAACACCCCCACCACAACCCAAACCACCACTTTTATGCAAAACAATCTTCTAACACCAAAGAAATCCTATGCCAATCATTTATAATCATATGAACTAATCCACCTGATAAATATCCCATATATAGATCTAAAAATACTAGAACGCATTTTCCTCCCTGTGTTGGCCTATTTTTTAGGGCCATGATGTTGCTACATTGCAACTATTTCTGCAAATTCTCTTACAAACAGAAAAAAACAACCCAACCATCAAAACCAACACCCTACTATGGACGTGAAGAACAGAGAGCTGTAAATCCACAAATCGGCAATAGAATAGTGACGCTGTACTTGAATTTTGTAGCTGTTCAAAACACCAAGTGAATTTTAAATTACAAACTCCTATTATATTCTTGCACCTTTGAGCAACAGAACACGAAACACCACATTTCTGATACTCCCTCGCCACATTCTACTGCCGATCATAACCCAGGCAACAGGTTATTTGTAGATGGTTGTCTGCCTGTCCTGAAAACAAAGAAATCCTGCCAGGTTATAATGGTAAAGATGCTTGGGAATACATAATGGCACAGAAAACGCTCGATATGAGCCCATGAAAAGTCACGTACAGAATCAAGGCACATACAGTCAGTATAAACTAATATACTTCAAGAAAAAGAAAAAAAACCTCTGCATGCAAAAATCCCCACAGCTTATTTAGTTTGCATTTTAACCACATATTGTTAAACAACATTGTCTAACTACAATCTTTCTGGACTTGCTGCATTTATAAGTTCCTATTAACCTTGTCCAGCAGTCACTTCTTCCAAATGGAAGTTTTGGCCACAACTCTCCTTTGTCACAAAGAAACAAACAAGGAGCAAACTTTAATTCCTGTTCATTTCTGGAGCACTATACTAACTCCTACACGAGTGAGGCCAACTAAGCACCTTCCCATGGCCCCAGGGAAGCTTTGAAATGGATGTTTAAACCTTTCAAGAGGTGGGTTATAACGTGACATCACACTTTAACTACAGGAGCACCAACAGAGGAGAAGCTTGGCAGTAGAAAAGCAGACAAGGAAGTCCTTGCCTGCAAGCCTCAGTAACAGGTTAGAACAGACAAGGCAGCATGCTAGCAGGAAATGGGACCAAAGCAGGAGAGAAACAAAAATTAATTTAAAAAGGAAGTTACATGAAAGCAAGATGATAAAAAGCCAAAAAAGCATAAGAAAGAAAAGCAGAACACAATGTCTGTAACATTTACTTTCAAATTCAAGCTTCCATCATTAAATTACACTTCCCCTACCAACCTGAAATTCCATCTGTGTTAAGTGGTAGCATGTTTTAAAAAAAACATTTCCTTTTTATAAAAGACAAAATAGATGTTGAAACCTTTAGAATCACCAGGTAAGAAACTACCCACACCTGCAGAACAATTCAGCTTACCTTTTGAGAGTGCTAGCGAGTGATAATAACCACAAGCAACTTGAACAATCTGGATCTCTGATAAGCTTTTAATATTTCTAGTGGGTAAGAAAACAGAGACAGAATTAAGCTGCTAGGTCATGGTATGAAATACAAAGTCATGCCACAGGGCAATACAGAAAAGTGAATCTTTTTCACTTCAGTTTACAGAGCTATTAAGTACTGCACAATATTATAAAGAAGTTGTAAGTAGATACAAGGGGACATTAAACTCGGGATGCTTTCAACTTTTGATGAGAAAAAGAGTTTCTGAAAGGCCTGGGGCTTTTAAATCTGATACAGATACAAAAAAACCTTAATATTAGTTATTTGTATCTTTCATACTTATACATATGTCACAGACAGTAATTTCTAACTTTATCATGGCTACTGTTCCAAGGAATTGTCACCTTCCTGTGCCTTTTTCCTATGTAAAAAAGACAGAACCAGAAAAGAGAACCTCCAGCTTGCAAACACACAATCTTACTGCTATGAACAGTTCCACTTATTTCAGTGAACCCATTCATTGCAGTAAAAACGTGGACTTCAGCCAGCTAGAATGCTTATGGCATTCTGAAAACAAGCAAGTGAATCTGGCTAGCATTCATTTTCATAACTAGAAGGCGTACTATTTGATCACAGCTAAAAATCTTCAGGGTGAAAACTGAAGTCTGAAGATCAAATAGCAACTGTACCTTCATCAAATGTACTCCCTAACTGGTTTTCAAAGTCTAACACTCTACTTCTCTAACTTCTCTTAAGTGACAGTTATCAATCCCCATTTACATTCTTGAAATACCCATCCTACTTTTCCAACATAACTCTCATTCTTAGATTACTTGAAATAAACAAAAAAAAACAAACCAGCCAAACCCGTAAAACACTTCCCACAAACTGACTTTTTGAGAAACTGCCTGCAGCATTCAAGTACCACAGCTAATCTTCACTTTCTAACGTGCGCTTAAAACAGAACAGCTTAAACCAATGTGATTTAATCACTTAAAAAAAAAATTATACACTAATTATTTTGAACCTGGGCACTCTGATGCATTCCTCTGTTCCAGGCAAGCCAAGCTGTCCATCAGTAGCCAGACCCCAAGCATAGACCTGACCCTTGTCATTTAAGGCAAGAGTGTGGGCTTCTCCACATGACACAGCTACAATATTTTGGGCATCCAGTGCACCAACATGCTCTGGAGAAAAAAAAAAAAAAAAAGAGATTAGTTGTTTAAAAAAACCAGCTACTAGCAAGCTTGCGTCATTCAAGACAGTTACACTCACTACTAAGCTATCAACTGAAATGAAAGAGAAGTGAGCCCCGAAGTCTGCCAAACATCCTTTATGTAAAATCACAGCCATGCTATTCTAGGGGAGATAAGTTAAATCTGACACCCAGAGTAACCGAACAACAACTGTATCTGGAGCAATGTACAGAGGTGCACAGAAACCGCAGCTTGATCATAGTGGTTCCTTCTAATCTTGCCATCTGAAAAGGAGTGCAGAAACTCAATTAACATTAAGGTCAAACAGATTATTGTCAAATCAGTACACGTGTAGACATTACGTAAGAGGAAAACATTCCACCACAGCAAATTAAATTCACCTATTCATTATGAACAAAAAAAGCCTGCAAAACAAGGCAGGGCAAATTACAGACTAAAGCTACTGATTTTGCAGTGAGCTACACAATGTCCTCTTTATCATGCAAAATACCGTAGAAACAGATCCTAAAGAGTCATTTTTCTAGATACAGAGTGCATGCCTCTGAACAGCAAAACCTGAAACACCTGTGATTTTTTTCCAGTAGCCTGCATCACTACCTTTAAATACGTTTGGAAAAACTCGAAGCTTGTTTTGGTGCTTAGCATTTGAGCTCAGAAGCGTAACATTTTCATTTCCGCCACGGTAAAGTGGAGAAATAGTATCAGGGCCTGTCGTTAAAGCTGGAATTTTCAACAGTCCCCTTAAGTAAGAGCCTGCTTGGACACCGTGTGATGAGTTTTCAAACACATACGTTCCGTTCCTGCCTAGGAACGGCACACGGCTGAAAAAGCCTGTGTATCATCAATGTAAGATGTAGGGTAAACACAGCCTAGCAGGGCACAAGTAATTTTCCAAAGAGCTGCTAGCAGTATCTGCAACAGGACAGGCACTCTGCCTCCAAAATAAAGGAACATAGGCAGCAGACATGAGTTCTGTGGTTTGTGGGGTTTTTTTTAAACAGATGGTCTGATTAAAGGGGTTACCACCCCAATTCAGCCCACTCCGGCCTCCACAGCTCTGCCAGTGGAAGAGGTCAGGCAACAGCATGCAGATTAGCTTCTGCTGTCTCCACCAGCTGCTAAACCAGCCAGCCTGACTTTGCCTCACATGGATTAAGGAACATTTACACAATCCCTATGGCAGGCAGAGCTCTGTGAGGAGGAAAGGGGCAAGGCACAGTTAAACAGAGCCACTGGTGACATGGGGGTGGCAAAGACATGCAGTCAGCAACAAAATTATCTTCAGTTTGCAGAAATACATTCAAAAGAGCATCCACCCATTGGTAAAGGCACTCAGCCTCTTTAGACTGTGCATTCACTTCACATTAGAACATTCAACAGTATCTCCAGTAAGCTCTCGCTCAAAGAAAAATTGACATTACAATCCTCATGAGTACTATGCCTGAGCATGTTAAAAAAAAGTTACAGCAGGTGTTTGTCCATTACACATGAAAGCTCACACAAGGCTCTTCGAGAAAACCCGTCAGGTGTTTTTACTGTAGTTTTTAGATTTAAAAGACATGTCAGCATCACTTTCAAAGCAGGTTACAAGTATTCAGAGTAAGTTTGACAAGCTGAGTTCCCACTGGTGATCATGAAGCAGGTGTTTGCACAGGATTGAAGTTTATCAGTTTTAATCCATTTACTGTTTCCCAATGGAAGTCCAAATTAGCTGTTTTAAAACTATATTATCAACGACAAAAAAAACTCAACCAGGCACCATATCCAAAATTCTGAATAAAGGAGAACTACTAAAATACTGCATAATGCCTTATTTTCCACCCGAAATATTTGTATCAATCATTGTGCCAAGTAACTTGTAAAACTCCTGTCACGGTGATTAGAATAAACCCTTACTAAGCCTTCTCCCTGCCTAGGCTATGCCAGGAGGACTGTTCCATATGCCAGCAGCACGCAGACATGACTCACATACACACAGCTCTGAAGGGAGCCCATGTGCACACTCCTCTGCAGTCCCTGCAAGATGTTTACCCACTCCTGCTATAGAACTGCACTAGCAGGAAGCAGAAACATGCATAAAACATAGATAGGAAGAAAAAAGCCCCCAAAAAGTTCTACATTGCATCCTTTAGGCTTTTCCAAATCCTCTTCCTGTAGCATTCCATATGCTGAAGTCTTACCAAGAGTTTTGAGTTCATAAAAAAAAAAAAAACATTAACAACATGGTTGAATCAGACCTGCTCTACATCACATATTAGACAAAAACACACAGCACGTTTCCTAACTATGGCACACCAAATATTCATTTTTACCACACCCCAGCAGTCAAACGCATACATACAGTACGATGCTACCCCATGTACTGAAGCAGGTCACCTCCCCTTGAGGTTAAAAACAGCCACTCAAGTCTCCCACGGCCTTAGGGAAAGTGACTGCATGCCGGAAATAAAAAAGTGGCTGTGTCCAGCTGCACGGCAGGCAAAGATACAGGGGGTCTGTCGTGTTTCAGTTGGTTGTTTCCAACGGTCAGAAGATGCAATCCAAGCAAAGGAATGCTTTACAAGTTAAAAACGTGCCCGTTCTTGGAAGAACTGCTGTGCACACGATTCAGCACAGGCACAGACGCTGGCAATCTTGGGTCCAGTGTAGCATAATGCAACAAAAAAGCCCCCAAAATACACACACAACCACACGTACTCTCCACAGTTCATTACTTCTAGACTTACCTGGTCTTTTCCTGGCTTTTTCATGCCCTAGTTGGCCTAGATCATTGCATCCACATGTGTAAACTGTTCCATCATCCAGGACAAAAACAGTGTGTCTCAGTCCACATCCTACATCTCTGACCCTTTTGTTTAAGAAAAAGTCACTTCTTCTGGGTTCTAAAACAACCTCTTCATCAATTCCACCCAATCCAAGCTGTCCAAAAGATGCATTTCCCCAGCACAACATGTTTATGCTTCTCTTGATGACAGAGATCTTCCAACTTCACTTTTCTAGAATATCCCTTCTGTATAGCTGTTCAAAACAAAGGAAAACATATGGGTTTTCAGCACTATCCATACCACTTATGTTCTATGTAGCATGTAATCCACAAATTCACTGTCTATATACCAATATATTGAGACAGTGAACAATTTTTAAGTGTGTGATTTACTTTCTTGGACAGTATTTACATTAACTCTGCAGTAAAATGCTTTCTTTCCCATTCAGATACATCTTTTAAGATGTGCAGGTCCTCACTTTTATAAACCTTTGTTCCAAAAACTTAAAATATCGTTCTTTGTAAAACTTCTCTAATCCCTAATCCAGACCTATACAAATGGAGGTCACAACCAATTCTAGCTGGTGGAAATAACCTCAAACATCCTTTAAAGAGACAGTACAGGCTAGCTGCTCTACACAAGGAGCTGCATGACTCCAGAACGCACTGCTTACAGCCTCAGGATCATCCCCCCCACCCAAAAAAACTTGACTCATAGCTTGGAAAAAATTGGTCAGCTCTGATCAATCCAGTTATGCAACACACAGAATAATATGAGGTGTCAATCGTTACATTTAAACAACTATGAGTCAACTGAATTTACAATTTAAAAGAAAGTAAATAGCTGAAACTCAAGCCCCCACTCTTACACTGCATCAGCAGAGGCTACAGCTTCACAGTTACTCTGAAGTAACAGGAGACCACACATACAAACTCCCCCACGCAACCCCCATACCCATTCCCTAAATTACAACTACCAGTGTTGATGCTAACAGACTCTGCACCCATCTGGAAAGGATCCAAAGCTACGCTTCTCTTTTCAGCATTGCAGATGACAAAGAATTTATGATGTTTTCCCTATTATTTATACTACACTTCTCTAACAGTAAGTTTCCCCCTATTTTCAGAGCAATTTAAAAGCCAGTGCAATGCACCGTGAAATCGCTATAAATTTTCACCTGTGACGATTATTTGGAAGACCGCACGAATAACAGAACGTGGAATACAATGTACAACAAAGGCGTTCAGTCTTATGTTCTGCTGGGTCACAATATGTATAAACCACCCAAATACAAAACTGCCATCGGTTAGCACCTCAGCGTTACATAAACCAAAGAAGAGCAGAATTCTTGCCAGCACAACTGGATGAACCGTTTTTCTCTGTAATGGTCGAAATGTAGTAAGCAAGATGCTTATTTCTGTGATCTCATTAGAAAAAAAAAAAATACCCAAAGCAGCCAAAAATATATTGCATTCTGTTTACCTATCTCAGGAGGTGACGCATGATCAAATATTTCCCTAGCTATCACTCGCTATATCCTACCACGTTCAGAAGGGGACATCAAAATGAAGACTTCTTGGGTTAAGACATAGCTATGCAACAGCAAATTCCACACATCTGTAGCAGCGACTGCAACGCAAGCTCCAACCTGCAACACAAGAATTTGGAAAGACGTATGATTACACTGCTTCGAGGTTTTCATAGCCAAGATTTACCTCCATCTCCAGGGGAGGCAAAAAGAAGCAAAGTTCTCCGTTCCATTGAAAGGGATACGTATTTCCATAGAAAAGGGCGTTGTTTGCTGTTTTCCTTTTAAGAGTCGGTAGCCGAGGAGGTTCCGTACTTTGCTCTCGATCAGGGCGGTATTTTACCCCCGTCCGTCGCCCCCAAAGGCAGCTCACGCCGCCAGCTGCTGGGTACTACCGTGCGTGAGGCCAGAAGCAGCCCAACGCCGCCACCCAAGCCCGAACGCGAGGGGAACCTCCCAGCTCATCCCCTGCTAGCAGAGAGCGGGTAACGGCGCCACAGGAAGGGTCTGGATGTTTCCCCAGGCTGTGTCATCTCCCCGTGCACCGGCACCGCCGCGCGCTTAAAGC